GTACTGATAAAAAGGAAAAAGACAAAAAAAAAAAAAAAAAAAAAAAGAGTACAGTGTGAAAAACATGAAACTGAATTAAGTAAACTTCTCATTTCATAAATACATAAACAAGGTCCAAGCTAGCAGCAAGAGCAGAAAAAAATGACAAAGGATTTTTAATCCTCAGCATCAACTTCAGCCAAGTCTTGACAGCACACCTCTAATACCAGCATTCAGGAAGCTAAGGCACAAGTATCGCTGAGTTTAAGGCCAGCCTAGGTCATACTGTGTGTTCAAGGCCAGTCTGTACTATGTAGCAAGACCTTGTCTCAAAAAAAAAAAAAACAGACAAAATCAACTGCAATCTTGTGACTGGAATTAATGAGATTCAGCTATGTGCCACAATAAAACTTAACTCTTCTTATAAACACAAGGAAGAAAATGTGCACAAGAAAAATCTCAATATGAATTACCAATAGTTGCTTACTGACCAAAAGTTGAGAGCCACTGGGGCTAGCAATCATACTCCAAATGGGTCCTCCAAAGGCATCCATAGCATATTTGATGTTTAACGCCTGTAAGTCATACTCAAGAATTTCTCCATTGAGTCCAGCACTAAAGAGTCGCTGTCCTTGTGCCCAACACAGAGCTTCTGTAGCACGAGATTCATGACCTGGGAAAAACTACAGAAACAGCAGAAGTTTTCAACATGCCATGAATTGATCAGTCATAGGTATGCAATTCAGTAAAAATTATCTACTAGTAACCATTGTGTAGTTTTGGTCTTACAAGATTATGTTCATATTTTCATTTTCTTCATGTTCAAATTTTAGTTAATTAAAATTATTATAGTTTACTTGTACAGTTAGATTTAGTTTTTTATTTTTGCTTTTTACACTAGGGCCAATTTAGTAAAACCTATTCATCAGACTGAAGCATACTTAAGTTTGGTTTGATGCATCCAAATGAATAAAACTATCTGGTTTTCTAAAAATTAATACAACTATTTTGAATGGGTGGTGGTTTCACTAAGCACATGTATATATACATACATATATATACATACATACAGTCTATGTAAATATGTATTTGGAGGATTTCTTATATTATTGCTTAATCAGACAGTCACAAATATACTACACTATGGGCATCTTAGTTTTTAACAAAACTGTTTATAAAATTTCAAAATTTAAAAAGCATAAGGACATAAAAAATATTTTTTTTTATTATGGAGAAAAAAAAAAAAACAAATAGGGTACAAGTTATACAGAATTTCAGAAAAATAAACAATAGGAAATCACTAGTTAATAGATTACATATTGTTATCTTAGAAATAGTTGTTCAAGTTACAAAATTAAAGCACATAAAGTGGACTTTCAAACAGTGAGACTGGAAACAGTTTTGTTCAATGATCCAACAAAACTCAGTAATATGGTTATCTAATCTTATAGACATAAAAAATATTGATCGGAAACGGATATAGATGGGAAGGGGATGTGGGGATGAGGGAGACTGGAGTGAGCAGGACAAGGATCTGTACATGTACCAAGTTCCCACAATAAATGTGCTTATTGTGTACTACAAATATATACTATTAAAAAGAGGGGGAGATAACATCTACAGCTGTACAATGTTTACTATGAGTCAAAGTAAAAAAGAGTAAGTTTATAAAATAAGTTATCATAAGCTAAGGGTAATTTATTATTAAAGATTTTAAAAATAAGATTTCCTGTAAGCTGGACGTGGTGGTGCATGCTTATAATCTCAGCACACGGGAGGCTGAGGAAGGAGAATCACGGTGAGTCTGAGGCCAGACTGGGCTACATAATGAGTTCAAGGACAGCATGAATTACAGAGTGAGACCCTGTCACAATCAATCAATCAATCAATTCCATGGGGCCTAAGTGCATGGTGGTAAGAAAGTCTATAGTAGCGTAGTCTGTCCTACGCCTTCATATTCACCACCACTAACTAGCTGTCTCACAGCAACATTCAGCCCTACTAGTTCCACTCATAGAAGTGTCCTAGACAAGTATACCATTTTTAACTTTTACACTGTACCCTGCTATGTTTAGATACACCAATATTTACTTTCATGTTATAACTGCATGATAACATGCTGTGCAATTATGTACTGTAGATGCAAGTCTACACCATCAATGTAAGCATAACAACCAAATCGACTAATGCACAGTTCTCAAAAGGATCATCACTATTAAGAGGTACATGGGCTGGGGATTTAGCTCAGCGGCATAAGCGCCTTGCCTTGCAAGTGTATGGTCGTGAGTTCGATCCCCAGTACCGATAAAAAAAAAAAAAAAAAAAGACAAAAAAAAAAACAGGTGCAGTACAATATATGCTGAACATTACCAATGTATACACTATCCTTTAAATACATACAGCTTAGTGTGTGAATTTTACCTGTAATGAGCTGTTTACAAATAAAATAATGCAGCTCATTCTGGCTTTTTGTTCAAATCTCAGATTTCTAAGCACTTTGGAGCATTCAAAAAGTTTCCAAATCAAGGCATTATAATCTTACCCCTGCTTGATGCAAAAAGGACTAACTAAATTTTCCTGATTGAAACTTGAACAGGTCTACATACATATTGCTGAAATGGCCTGTCCAAAGTGCCAGAGTCACAGGCATGAAGAAAACTGGGCCTTCTGACTCCTGCCCTCCATTTGTTTTGGTTTTTTTTTCCCTTTGGTCTGAATAGTGGCAAGCAATCCTAACTAGTAGGGAAGAGAATATGGAAAAAAGCAGAAGACCACACTGAATTAATGGATGAAAGTGAGAGCAGAAAAAAAATAAGGGGTAAGGAAAGGTTGATTTATTTAACAAACATTAATCCAGTAATAGCTTTGTACTAGGCATTTGCTAACTGGTAGGAATAACACAATCATGAACATCACTGATGTGGTTCCTGTTTCACAAACGAAGTGTAGTGAGGAAAAAAAAATGTTAAACAAATACACAAAATGTAATTCTTATAAATAACCAACAGAAGAAAATCACAAGATGCAACAAGTATGCACCAGAGTATGTTTTTCCACACTACAGAAGGTGACTGGCCTATCTGTGGTGGACAACCACTTGAAGTTTATTATGTGCCTTTTTTAGGAGTTAGTTCAAGAAGCCCTCCCTTTCCAGGTTTCCTAAACCACTTTCTCAGAGTAATGTATTTCTCTATGAAGGTGCTATGCTATGCTCGGTTTCACTGTGTTGGTCAGAAACTATACACTGATCTTCCCCCCATTGGTCTTTGAATACCCTGAAGGCAGAGCCTCTGACATTTGTCTTAATGTCCTGTGTTTGCTACTTGAAACCTAAGTGCTTACCACTCTGTGTACATCCAAAGGATGTCTTACCTAATTAACAATCTCCTTTACTCCCAAATGTAGGCATGTACATCTACATTCTCTGACAAATGAACTTAAGAATCCACTTTCCTGCCATCATGTCACCAAAAAATTGATATGAAAATGTTTATCTTTTCTGAATTGACAATAAAAGGGGTACTGACACACCCAGAAGGAAATGGTACCTTACCAAAATTGCAATGCTCTCTCATCAACTTCCCTTCTTGTTGTGGCCAAAAGATCCAGCAAATCTCATTTTCCAAATGACAAGGAGTGAGACGCCAAAATTCCTAGGTAAAACCTTTCTAACCAACATTACACTGGTCAAATCTCTCAGCTTCTCTCATCAATCAGGCAGGAGATCTTATTTGGTTCTAAACAACTCCACAAAGGTTAGGGAGTCACTTGTAAGACACACAAGTTGTAAAACAGACCTTTAGCAGAAAATCAACATCAGAAATGCCAAACTAGGCTTCTAAATGACTTACTTTTTCCTGAAAATAGTTTGCTGACAAGTTATAAATTTCTACAGTGCCATCTGTTCGAGAAACAGCCAATCTATTTGACTGGTTATTGTAAGCCACACAGCGGATCCCTGGTGGGACATAATTGAAGAAACGTACTCGATGGACTTTAAATTCACCCATTCCTACAGGGACAAAAAAAAAACACACACACATATATTATTGTCAAATATCAACTGGAGTATCACATGTGCTGTATATTATTACTATTCTATATGGAAAATTCCAAATATATCTCACTTAAGTTCACGCCTAAATACCAATCTTTTCTTTTCTTTTCCTTTCTTTTTTGAGACAAGGTTTCACTACGCAGTTCAGGCTGTCCCGAACTCAGTTTGTAGCTCAGTTTGGACTTGAACGCGCAGCAATTCTCCTGCCTCAGCCTCCTCAATGCTAGGATTACAGATGTGTGCCACCACGCCCGAATCCAACGATGCTTTCATGCTTCACGCAGGAACCCACCAATCTCAAGCTGGTTTAAATAAAGATACTTTAGTAAAAATTCTCCAGAGTCCTATTCCATAACTCTAGAATCCTAACTTTGAAGGTTTAAGAAATCTCCATTTTAGCAGTCAGCTTTCCCCAACTCTAAAGAATGCTAAGTTTGCAAATCACTGGTAGTGACGTGGGGCTGATTGAGCAGAGCTCAAGAATAGGAAGTGACAGGTCTCTGGCTGCCTGGTCTAGCATCCACCGGGATTTATAGACCGACCGAGGGTACGTATGAGTTCTGGATCACCCCTCCCTCGTCTCCCTTCAATGTCAGGAATCCTCGGTCAGGATAGGCGCATTCGGTCCGGTCAGGCGAGCTTATGAAGATCTCACGCGAGGTCTTTGCCACCCTTCCCTTTTCCAAAGTATACGAAGCAGCATCCACAGGGGATCCTCCGGACAAGGGAATCGGCAAGCTCCGCGGAGCGCCGACCCCGAGCTGGCGGCATCCACACACACTCAGCTCGAGCCTGTGCTACCCACGCCCCTTCCCCAACTCACCTGCGGATCTCTGCCCGCCTGCCCGGAGCTCGCCTCCTCTCCGCCCCGGCCCCACGTGCGCGCGCGCTCTTCAGCTCTGCCCCGGAAGTGCTCGTGGCACGGGCCCGGAAGTGCGCAGGCAGTGCTCGCGGCGGCGGCGACGGCGGCGGGAGGTTCGGTTGTCGCCCGTTGGCCGCGCGGCGCCGCGCTCGGCGGCCGCCATTTGCAGGTCAGGCAGCGGGTGGGGGGCACGGGAGGCTGCGGGGAGCGAGGCCTGAGTCGGGGATGGGGGCGAGAGAGCGGGAAGCTAGAGAGCTGGGGCCGGGCGGGGCGCGCGACTCGGGGAGAAGAATGGCGAGCCGAGGGGCGGGGAGCGGCGGGGCGGGGGAGGGGCGGCCGGGCAGGGGGTGGGAAGTGGGGAGGGCCGCGCGGGGGTGGGGGTGAGCCCACGGGGCCTTCCCGTTGGAAGGGCCGAGGAACGTGGGGGAAGGGAGCGGTGTGGGCGCGGGAGGCGAGGAAGGCAGGGGGCGAGCGAGCTGAGAGGGAGAGGGTGCCTGAGCGCGAGCAGAGGACGGAGAAGGGGGCGGCGCGGGCCGGAACCTCAAGGTATGTGCGGGAAGGGGTTCTTCCCGGGGTTGGGAGGGAGCCCAGCCTGCGAGGCTTGTGGGAGTGGAGCAGTACTGGCACCCAGAAAGTAGTGAGAATAGCAGAAAGAGAACCTCGTGGGGTGGGGGTGGAGGATGACAGGACTGCGAGGTTTGTTCTAGGGGACATTTTCTTTTAAATCGCGGGGGGTGGAGAGCATACTGTTGCTGGGAGAGATGATGTGGAAGGTGGCTGGTGATCCCAGCTTCTTTGTGGGTGGAGTGAAGCCGAGAGATTAGTGGGGTGGGGTTGTAGAGGAGCGAAGTACTTGGGGACCGGGGACAATTTGGATCCTGAGGATGGTAGAGAAGGGGCCGTTAAAAGAGGACTCTGGGTGGAGGGAGAGGAACATCCCTTCGGTGGGGAGCGTGGTGGAAGGCAGGTTAAAGAATGGGAGGGAAGGGACTAGTTTTCTTGGGAGGTAGGTTACGGGGCCAAGCATTGGTAAATGATTCTAGCAAAAGTGTAAGGGCAGTTGGGAGAGGATTGGAGAAAAGGGGGGAAGTGAATGGATTGAGTTCCAGAAAGTGGGCGAGACTAGAAATAAGGAAGTGTTTTTTACATCTCCGTAAAGGGAAGGGTGGGCTCGAGTCCGGGGTGGAGAAGGTGGGGGCAAATGGGAAGAGAAGACAGCACAGAGGGGAGACCTTGAACAAGGCTAGGGAAAGGGTCTGGGGAGAAATAGGGTACCATGTTAGGAAGAGGAGGAAGGGCTGAGATGGGGCTGCAGAGTAGAAGAAGATGGAAAAAACCGGAGTAACTCAAATCGACTGAAGCCATCTTTTCCACCTATTGTCTACAAATACCAGTAATTGATTCCCTCCAATCTGGGAATCCTGAAATGTGATGGGAAAGTACCACGTGTATGCATAGCATCTACACATGTTTTTGAACACACTCTTCAGTAATGAAAAGTTTGGAAGCATTCAGTTCCACCTACCCTCAATGGCCCCTTTTTGGAGAGGAACAAGTGTCATTTAAAAACGATTTTAGACTTAGTAACATAAGCCTGTCGGAGAAGATCCTCTTCGAAACTAAGGCCTTACCAGTGAGTCACAAAACCACAGTAACACTACTAATAAAAGTAATGTGCGTTCATTTGTGTATAAAACTTTCAGTTCATTTAATGGAAAGGCACATAGAGAAGTCATCATATTCAAAGAAATGATCTTCCAGAGTTTAATACCTGAAGCAGTTTGTTGAACCTTCACTGCAGCATTTGAATTGTTCTTCAATTGTGTTAACTTTTTTTGGGGGGGAGGGGGGGTGTTGAGACTGGGTCTTGCTGTGTAGCCCAGGTTGGCCTCAAATTTGCAGCATCCTCCTGCCTTGGCCTCCCAACTGCTGGGGTTATGGGACTGCTGGAATTACAGGCATGTGCCACCGTGCCTGGTTTAAATTTTGTAAATTTAATTTTACTCTGTAGATCTGCTTTAATAGAATTTCTGAATCCCTTATAAACATTCAAATGGCTTATTGTAGTTTAATGTTAAGTGACATTAACTATATATGAAGAAAATGCCAAGTTCTTCCTGGTAATGAGCCGGTTGATTCATGGCTTACCTTGTGTTAGACACTGTGCTGAAAGCTCTGTGTTCATTACCTCATTCAACCTGTTCAACAGAACAACCTGTTGCTGTTGAGGTAGGTGTTTTATGTCCCATTTATTGATAGATAAACTGTCACACATGGGTGATATTCTAGGCCTGACTAGTGTCTCATATCACTAAACAAAATACAGACCCTAGATCCAAACAAAAGCCAAATAAATACTATTGACCTGGCAATTAGCAGATATATTGTGTCCTGTATTTAACTTTTTGAGACAGGATCTCATGTAGCCCAGGCTGGCCTCAGCCTCATGGTTATTCTGACTGTTAGGATTGCAGCAGTGTGTCACCACATCCAGCTTGTATTTATTTACTTTAGAACATCATGATCTGTACTTTAAAATGGTCATGATTTCACTTGGGGTTGGGGTTTGGGTTTAGGTTTTGGTTTTGTTTTTTGTTTTTTTTTTTTTTTTTTTTTGAAACGGGGTCTCTTACATAGTGTTCATGTTTGCTTTTGGACTTCCTGGGTAACCTAGGCCTGCCTAAAACTCACTGATCCTCCTGGGATTGTGTACATGGCCAGCTTTCAGTTAAGCCTTTTTTTTTTTTTTTTTTTTTTTTTGAGACAGTATCTTGCTATGTAGTTCAGGCTAGCTTTGAATTCACTGTAGCTCAAACTGGCCTTGAACTCTGTGGCAATCCTCTTGTCTCAGCCTCCTGAGTGCTGGAATTTTAGGCATGTGCCACCATGCCCTGCTACACCCCATTTTTTTGTGTCATGAATTTTTTTAAATCAAAGGTTGGAAAATTCCTTCCAAAAAAGTACTTGAAGAACACATGCCTAGCATGTACAAGGCCTGTAGTTCATTCCATCCCCAGCACCAAAAGAATATACAGACTGCTTGGAAATGTTCTAATGGAAGTATATGAGACACTGAAAACAAGTATGCTCGGGATTGCCACAAGTTTGAGGCCAGTGTGGGCTACATTGTTAGTTCAAGGCCATTTTGTGCTAGGTTTGCTACCTTGTCTCAGAAACAAAATTTATAAAACACCATTTAGCTCTAGAAAAACTTAAGTTATTTGTAGTTAGGTTAAATCAATGAGTCAAAGCCCTTTGTTTTTTGTTGGGTATGGCTGTATACTTAATTAGATAATTTTTCACCCTTCTGCCACATTTTATTTTGGGAACAGTTACCATTATGAGGATTATTGCTCAGGCTGTTCCCTTTAAAAGTAATCTTCTAAGAAATTTAATTCATAGAGCAGAGGATAAAATAATTTTTTGTCGCAGATTAGAGTGAACCTATGACAAAGAATATTCTCTTGTTCTTTTGACTTATTTTTTATTTTTTTGGTACCTGGAGTCATCCTCGGGACCTTGTGCTTGCCAGGCAGGTGTCATGCCACTGAGCTAAATCCCTCCCCTGGCGTTAATACTATGGAGCAGAGATTTAGGATCAAGTTTTGAATCCAGAGGTGGCATTGAGTTGATACATTTTCAAAAAAAAAAAAAAACCCTAAATATGTATAAGGGGGAAAGCAAGCTTATTGTTTAATTGCTTACTTTTGGATGTATTAGTTACTTGGGTTGCAAGTTACAAGATTACTTACCTGCTATTTTTTAAGAGATGTGAGAGTGATAACATTTGTAAAGCATCCTAAGAGAAGGGGCTGGTTCAGGCAGGACTAAGAGATGGGAATGCAGAGCTATTAGATTCCACATCCTAGCTCCATCACTTACTGGCTTGATCAGTAGCTTAACCTTTAGCTTCTCAGCCTGTTTCCTCATCTGTGAAAGAAAGTGGGAACACACCTCATAGGGTGGTTCGGGATAAAGTGACAGAATCCAGTAAGTTCAGTACAAATTAGTTCTGGGATTGGGGCTTTTTCCTAGATGGTAGGCATAGATAGTTCAAGAAGTCACTTAGGGTGGTACTTAGATTTGTCAGGTTCTTCATAAGAATTTAATAGTTCAAGCCAGTGTGCATCTGTAATCCCAGCACTTGGGAGGCTGACGCAGGAGGATCACTGTGAGAGGCCATCCTGGGCTACATAATTTCAAGGCCAGCTTGAGCTAAATATCAGGACTATCTCAAAAAATTTTAAGAATTTCTAAAGATAGAAGTCAGAAGACAGGGTATAGCTGGGGTTGGTTTAATTCTGGCCAAAGTTTTTGAGTTTTGGTTAGGATTCCTGTTGTTGGTCTAGATTGGTTCTCCAAATCCTGGTTTTGTTGCCATGTTTATTCAGAGGCCTAGTCATTTACCACTGTCCTGAAAAGCAAGTTTTGACCACTTTCAGCCTCCACACTAGTATAAGGTATGGGACTGATGTGAGACAGGCTTGGATAAGTAACATTTTTAGAAAATTTGAAGACAAAGGGGGCTTTTTTAAATAAAATTGAGCAAAACTGAAATGAGATTTTTGTTTGTTTTCTTTACAGAGACAAAATTATCTAAAAATATAGAATTGATGTATTTTTAACCTAGGAAAAATAAAGTACAAAACTTTTCTCCCCTTTAGGAGATTGAGAGTAGAGAGCATAACTTACTACAAAGGAAAAAGGTTTAGTTTTCTCTCCATTTTAACATTTCTTCAGGGCTGCACACTGGTTATAGCCTGTGAGACTAGTTCCACTCTGAAATAATGAAGTTCAACAATATTTTGAAAAATACATCACAAAAATTTCTTCCTGGCTATACAATTACTTTGTCAATCTGAAATTATTAGTAACCATACACGTTGATTGTAGGCAAATCTGGGACTGAACTGGCCTCTATAGAAGCTTACTAGAAAGCTCTTTTATAACTCCATAAAGTTTTTGATTGATTGTTTTTAGTACCAGGGATGGAACTCATGACTGCGTGCTTGCAAAGCAAGCGCTTATGCCACTGAGCTAAACCCCTGGCCCAACTCTAAAGTTTTATGATTTGGTACACAGTTAATTCTTCAAACTGCCTTCCAATCTTTATTCTTGGTAGTTACAATTTCTAAACAAACTAAATCTTACACTAAATAATTAGAAATTCCTTTAGTTGTCAGTATTGTTAGGATGAGTTGAGACTGAAGATGCAGAAATCTTTTGGTACTATAGAGAATTTTCATTGTAATGTTACTGTTATTACCAACAGGATTTGATTTACGGTTAAGTGGCAGTTAATCCAAAATCCTTAGACCAGAAGTGTTCAAGATTTGGAATTTGTCAGATTTGGGGATGTTCACACAGACTTTTAACAGTTGAACATTTGTAATCTGAAAACTCAAAATGCTCTGACACTTGAAACTTTTTGATTGACATGATGCTCAGAAAGTTTCAGATTTTTCAGATTAGGGATGTGCAATATGTATTATACATATTCTCTGCCTGTTTTTCTAAACTTTTTCTGCTCTCCAGGTAGAGACAGATTGAGCTTCATGCACTTACATCGTTTTTAATCAGCTGCACACTAACTGAAGCGTACATTCATGGTCCCTGCCACCTCCATTAAGTGTGTGCTCAGTTCAGCAACCAGAGATACCTACTCTGGTCAGGACAGGTGCCTAAAAATCCTAAAGAACCAAGAATAACAGAATCCAGATGTATGATATTTTAAAGCACTTAAAGAAGAATTTAAATTCACTAAAATGATTTGTGCCCCATGTTTGTTTCTTTCCTTTTCTTTTTTAGACAGGATCTTTAGTGCAGGCTGACCTTTGCTGTAAACTCAAGGCAATCCTGCAGCCTCAGTCTTTGAAGTGCTGGAATTACAGGTGTGCGCCACCACGTCTGGCTCCATGTTTCCTAATAATTCAGTAAATATACCATCACATATATGTAAGACAAAAAATGTTGCCAAATCAGTTCACAGGTTCCCTTGAACTAGACTCACACTGGTTGGGCTCGTACATCATTTGTGTGTACATGTGGGGCATTCCAGTAATCTAGCAAGAGACAAGTTTTTACTGTCTCTTTAGGGTACAGCAACGGTGTTCCAGTGGTGAGGTACAAGACTGGCAAGACTGTGGGTCACAGAATTCTTCAACAGTTGCTAGATGTGTGCCAGTACTACTAGATGTGTTTAGGACATTGATGTATTCCCAGCAACTTGGGGAGCTGAGGCAGGAGGATCGCTTGACTCCAGCCTGGGCAACATAGCAAAATCTGGTCTCAGGATTTGAAGCCCCAGCGATTGGAATACAAGTGCTGATCTGCCCATGCAACCAAGTGTCTGTTTTCCTTTTTCATTTAGGACGCCATTGTGAATTTCTGTTCTAACAGGAGACTGTTGAGGAAATGGATTGTACTGAAAATATTTGCATATCCATTTTTCCTAAACAGTTCACACATACCTATCTCAAATCTGTGGCCAAAGAACATAAAATTGATTTTGGTTGTCATGGTGTGGGTTTCATCTTGCCCTACCCTGAGCTTTCCTGAAGATGTTCATCTATGTGAATACATTGTTGCTTATTTTGCCATAACATGTACTGCTTTATGTCATCAAAAAGTTATTTGCAGGAGCTCTTTCTCAATCTGTTTACATTGTTGAGTCTTTTGATTCATAGCTAAAAGTACTTTAGATTCTGCTGGTGGTATCAGTGGGGCTGCTTTGTCTACATGAAAACTTTTGCCCCTGGTATTACTGTCTCAGAGCCACAACCTGTGCTGCTGTGGTAGATCTGGCTTATTCAAGGATGTTACTTGGTGCCCTTTTGCCGTTCTGAATAGAAGTTGCAGATGTGCAGTACCTGCCCAATGCCTTGATTCCTGTTCATTCACACCAGCACTTGGTTTTTTCCTTTGGAAGGCAGAATTAGTTGGGTAATAATCTTTGTATGCCTCATCTGCAAAGTAGAAACTAGTGTATCCTTTTTCATGTTAACTGGGATATCATCATATATGCACAGGATCCAGCCCATATTACAAATTCAAAACATTAGATGCTACTTCTTGTTGAAGTCCGAGTGAGTTGACTAAATTCACGTTCACAGTGTGTTTGGTGCTATGGGAGTAGCTGTCCTATAAGGCTACAGACTCCATACTACCCTTCTCCAGTGAGCCAAAATGAAGATTAACATATCAGGAAAAAAACTTGTTTACCATGTTAATCAGGTATTTGCTGAGCTTGAGCACAATTATGCCTATTAACTTTCCACTAAACTCCATATATATATTTGAAGGACTTAGCCAGAAGCTATAATTCTGGTCTACCATCTTCTAAACCAACTAGGAATTCTGTCCTTTCCAAGAAAGGCACATAATGAAGTCCATTGTCCCCTAGCAAAAATACCGCATGTTAGTGGTTCTTGTAGGATACCCCCACACTTGCCACAAGGTGGTGCTGTTGTATAAAATGAAATATTCTTAAGTGTTGGGATATTTTCATATCTAAATGAAAAGTGGTAGCTGGCTGTGATGGCACACAAGTGTAATTCCACCACTCAGGAGGCTGAGGCAGGATGATCTCCATGAGTTTAAGGCCAGCCTGAACTACATAGGTCTAGTCTCAAAACAAAACAAAAAGGTGGTCAAAACGTATGTTGAGAGTCAACATCAGCAGGCAGCTTAACCATTTACTAGAGCCGTGAGACTTTCAGTTCTGTTGGCTTTAGTTTGACGTAAAGAGAGGCCCTCTGGGGGCTGGGGATTTAGCTCAGCGGCATAAGCACTTGCCTTACCAGCAAGTAGTTGTGAGTTTAATCCCCGGTACCGATTAAAAAAAAAAAAAAAAAAAAAAGCTGTCCTCTGAATCTAGGAATATACTGGGCAACAGACATGAAGTTTATGTCATTACCAAAGGGAAAAATAAAGTCTAACAGCTCCTTTTTAAAAAGAAATACACAGGAAAAAAAGTAGAGTACCTTAAGAAAGGCAAATTAACATTTATGGTCCCGGATGATCTTGAGCCTGGCATGGTGGTACATGCCTTTATTCCTAGCTGCTCAGAAGGCTGGGGCAGATAAGTTACAAGTTCAAGACCAGCCACAAGGATTGGTGGGATAACTCAGTTATTGAGTATTTAGCATGCACAAGACTCTATGTTCAATCCCCAGTGCTGGGGAAAAAAAAAAAAAAAAAAAAGGAATGGTCTCTGCACTACATACCAGGTTTATAGTCTGTCTCTGATTTTGAGCAGTTCCATGCTGTAGTTGACTACTGGTGATTGTATGTGTTGCACCTGCAATCTGGATGTCAAAATTCCAGGGACTGCAGCACAGTGAACAAACATTCCACCACTGTGCCATATCCCTAGCCCAGTTGTTGGCAGTCTTTAGCAACCTTATCTGATGTACACAATCAGTAAGAAAGCTTACACTTTATGATGTTGTTAGGAAAATAAAGTAATGTGTATTTAAAAGCACTTAGAAAAGTCTGTCACACAATAAATGGTATTTAGCTGTGATTTTGTTATTCACTGTCATTACTATCCTGATTTTTTTTTCTCTACAGTTTATTTTCAGTTGCTTTTTAACGAAGAAAAGCTCATGGTGCAAATTGTTATTTCTAGGTGAGTACATTTTGAGATTTTTTTTTTTACTTAGTTTGAGTATATACAAGTTTCACATTTTTCTGGAAGAATCAGGGTCTTCAGGTACATCTTGCATAAATCTTTGCATTACAATCTCTAGTTCAGTGCCTAGCACTGCCCGATTTCCCAAGAATTTGTGCTCAACAGAGTTCCTTTGGGCCTTGAATGGTGGTGTAGGACCCTATTCATCCTTCACCCCTCAAAAATATTGTAACCGCCAGCCCTTTGCTTGCAGTGCAGGGGCTGAAGGCCTGGCAGAATGGGTGCTGATGGAGCTACAGGGGGAGATCGAGGCTCGCTACAGCACTGGATTAGCTGGAAACCTCCTGGGAGACCTACATTACACCACTGAGGTGAGGGGGTTTTCTTTCCCTGCCTAATGCCTCAGGAAAACAAGCTACACCAAGGTGGTGCTCCCAGGACCCAGAGTGAGGACTGCCCTCAGGTTTGTTATTCAAGATGTAGCTAATCTGCAGAGCTGTCTGCTTGTTCTTCCCCCACCCCTGCAATAGCAGGGAAATTTAGCTTTGGGGAATCTAAAAAAGTAACATTCCTGAAAGTGGACATTTTCTTACATGGAGCGAGAAAAAGTAAAAAGGGTAGAGGGTGGCTTGTCCAGTGTTCTGCTCAGCAGTGGTAGAACCAGTTCAGGGATTGGGGGTCAGGAATAGCTTTAGAAGCCACCTACAGTGGAGTGGTCTTTCCCTGAACCTCAGGCATCTTCTTCTTCTGCCAAAGGGAATTCCTGTGCTGATTGTTGGGCATCATATCCTGTATGGGAAAATCATCCACCTGGAGAAACCTTTTGCAGTTCTTGTCAAACACACTCCTGAGGAACAGGACTGTGATGAACTTGGCCACGAGACTGGCACCACCCGGTACCTGGTGACAGCACTCATCAAAGACAAGATCCTTTTCAAAACCCGCCCCAAGCCCATTATCACCAACGTCCCCAAGAAAGTATGAAAGAACCCCGGATTTTCCCTAGAGAGCGGCCAACTCCTTGGACTCGTGCACCATTGCCACCTCGAGGACGGCTTGACGGTTCCCTGGGACCACAGGGAGGTCCTGTTCTGAACACAGGCCACCCATTGGGCGTGAACTCTGATCCCTTCCTTATGGCAGCCGGTTCTCTTGGTGGAAATCTGGCCCCATTTCCAAGGAACCCATCTTTTCCATCTTCATCAGGCTCATTGGCTTCAAATCCAGCACCTTTCCCTGCTGGTTCTCGTGACCCAAGCATGGCTTCTTTTCCAAGAGGGATAAATCCTACTGGCACAGGCACAGCTTCTTTCCCAAGGCCAGGTGGCCTGTTGGGACCAGGACCAGGACCAGCTCTAAACCCTAGAGCAGGGGCTCTTCCAGGCCCAGGTCCTATGTCTAACCCCAGGTTAGGTCTCCCGGGCCCAGGTCCAGGCCCAGGCCCAGGCCCTATGTCCAATCCAAGGGCAGGTGGTCTCCTGGGAGCAAGTCCTGACCTCAGAAGTGGTACTCCCATGGGACCTGGATCTGGACCCAATTTGAGATCAGGTGTCTTGTTGTCTTCTGGGAATGGTCCTCCCAATCCTAGGCCAGGTGGTCTGGGCCCTGGACCAAATCCCAATCTGAGATCCAGCTTTTTAGGTACAAACCCTGCCCCTAGATCAGGTATGTTTCCAGGCCCAGGCCTTGGGTCCAACCCACGAGCAAGTGGAATGGGTCCAGGTCTTGGGCCCAACCCAAGAGCAGGAGGCCTGGGTCCAGGCCCGAATCTGGACACCAGAGCAGGTGGCCTGTTGGGCACAGGATCTGGCCTTAACTTAAGGATGACTGGGCCCCAAGGCCTAGATCTTGCCCCAATTCTAAGAGCAGCTGGTCTTTTAGGAGCAAATTCTGCTTCTTTTTCACAGGCTTCTGGAAACATGGGCACAAGTCCATCATCCATGGCAAGAGTACCTGGCCCTATAGGGCCAAACACAGGTCCTAGCTCTCGAGGAATTGGCCTTCCAGGGCCAAATCCATCTTCCATGTCAAGGGCTCCTGGCCCCATAGGCCCAAATTCAGCGCATTTCTCAAGGCCAGGTGGCCCCATGGGTGTAAATGCCAGTCCCTTTCCCAGGGGGACAAGTTCAGGAGGACTGAACCCAGCTGCCTTCTCTCAGTCTTCTGGCACATTGGCTTCAAACCCAGGTGCCTTCCAAAGGTCTGCTGGCCTCCAGGGCTCAAGTCCAGCAATTTTCCCTCGAGCCTCTGGGCCACTAGGTCCCAACCCAGCAAATTTCCCAAGGGCCACTGGCCTGCAGGGTCCAAGTCCAGCTGCCTTCCCAAGATGTACTGGTCCTTTTGGTCCAGGTCAAGTTGCTTTCCCTAGGTCAGCTGGTGGGCATCTGGGCTCTTCTCCAGCAGGCCCAATGGGTATCAACCCAGCTCCTTTTGCAAGGCCAACTGGGACTCTGGGTCTAAACCCAGCTTCCTTTCCAAGGATGAATGGCCCTGTAGCCAAGAGTGTTGTCCCATTTCCTAGGGTGGGGAGCCTTCCTGGCACAAACCCAGCTGCTTTCCCCAGACCAGGGGCTCCAATGGCTGCAATGTACCCAAATGGAATGTTACCCCCTTAAACACCACTTTCTCTCCAGGACCACTTGTTTTCCAGGCACTGTGGTTCTCAGCAGGACCGTCTCTTTAGGTAAAAGGTAGATACAGAGCTACTGTCTGAAGAACATAGCTGAGGGTGAAGTTCAAAAGAGCTCTTTTTCCTCTGCATTTTTCTTGACCGAAGGTGAAATGTTATTTGTGGGACATGGACTGTGAGAAATTGGGAATGATAACCGGCCTCAAGAGGAAAGAACTGGGGCCTTCCAGAAGCCTGCTGTGCTTTTGTCCCACAGCTTTCTGTCCCTTGTTTCTTATTTTTTGAATTGTTCTTGTGGACTTTTCCTCAGGGATACATTGGCCTGGTCCCAGTTTGTGTGTAACCCTCTGCTCCCTACTGGAGAATCAAGCTCACTGCTCTAGAGATGTTGCATTAGTGAATGGACCATGCTTCAATAGCTGTGACCTGTGCAGCTTGGACTTGGTCACCTACTGCCAGACTTTTCCCTGAGGGCTTGAACACAGAACAGGGAGGTGGACAGCCACTTCACCAACCCACCAAATAAATTTCTGCTTGACTGACTAGGCCTGCAGCTCCTTTCTCCTGGACTTCAAGGTGGCCGTGTTTAAGGCGCCTCTGTTCATCTGACGCCCTCTCCACTGGTACTCCCAATCAAAGAACCTCAAACTTCAAACTGATGTGGATGGGAACTAGGGTGGGGGTGGGGATAGAAGGGGAGGAATCACTGTGCTGTGTTCAGTCTGATGTGAAGGATGGTTGGTGTTTTTCCTGCACTGTATCTTTTCTTACTGTTTCTTTAATAAATGGGACAAGAGGGCTGCTGTTGTCACTCGTATTGTTACCTATTCCACAGGAAGGGACATTTACTCTCTGCTTTTCATTGTCTCATTTTGGCCACAATTCTGCATGACCTGCCAGCTAAAATGCTTGCACTCAAGAAGCAGGCTTTGATTTTCAGCCTTAGCTTGCTCACTCAGGCAGTTATCTCACTAGGCCTTGTCCCACCTATACAATAAAAGTTATGCCCTGAGACCATTTCTATCTCCAACCCTTCTTGAGATTGACGTAAAGAGTCAGCTTTATTAAGTACAAAGCAGGAGTAGCTCAGAGCTAGCTCTGTTGGTTTGGATCTGAAATATCCTCCCACAGGTTGTATGTTAAAGCTGTGGTCCCCAGCGCATCATTGTTCAGGTCAGGTGGCTGGATAGATCAACAGGGCTCCAGCCTCTACTGAATGGATGGACACATAGCTTCATTAAACATATAGCTTAACACACTGTCGTGGGGGTAGTGAAAACTTTAAGCCCTGGGGCCTGCTTGGAGGAAGTGTGCCTCTAAAGGGAATATGTTGTTCCCTGCCCCTTTCTCTTGCTTCCTTCCCAGGCCTTAGTGAAGTGAGCAGCTTTTTTTTCATGCTCCCAGCCTTGAGGTACCTCACTACATGTCCAGAAACAATGGATCCAATATCCTTGAGCCAGCTCTTTCTTGCTTGAAATTATGTCAGGTATTTTGCCACAGCAACAGAAAGCTAACACACCAGCAGTATGTGACAATTTTTATTTTGACAAATAAGTGCAGTATAAAAATTTTGACCTGAAAAGTTAAAAAAGACTCCTGTTAGAAGTAGCCACGCTTGGTTTGCGGCAATAGGACAGCAGCTGCCATGTATCCTGGAAATAGTAGGGAGAGGTACCAGTACTGGGCAGAGGTAGCACCATGGGGTTGTTCCAAAAGCACCGCAGAGATAGGCAGCCCAGGGGTTGCAGCGCACAGAAGGGAAAACAAGCACCCGAGTGGAGCATTGAAGGCTATAAGCAGAACCGGGAGCACTAGGACTTGTACAAGAGCAGGTGGTGCAGGAAGGAGCCAAGGCCCATAGAGGCACCCATGGCATAACGGCAGCCAACCTGAGCCTTCTAGGCAGGGGGCAAAGTAGGAAGAGTGAAAGACAGTTACGAGGCTGCTGTCAACTCCCAAAGAAGCTCAGGAGACGCTACATTCAGCATCTAGGAGGCCAGTGAGCTCAAGACAGAGTTGGGGCTTGAAACCCTTGGAGGTCAAGACCACAGAGAAAGAGCCAGGCACCAGGGCAGAGCCTATGGCAGCTGATGTCATGAGCTCTGTAGTCTGACAGTGAGAGGAGCAACAGGAGAAATGGGCAGCTGCCAAGGAAAAGCGCTTGCTGAACCAAAAGTCGGGGAAGATAAAAACACTGGGAGAAGTTGATGCCAAAGTTGTCAACACTATATGCTGGGTGGAAAGAAGTCAGCACTGTAGGAGGAGGGTTTGACCAGGTTCATGGAGGACCAGACCAAAAATTTGGCATCAGTATACTGATGGAGGGGGAGTTTTGGCAGACGTGGGGCCTGAACAGTGCTCAGGAGCTCACAGTAGAGCATGCTATTGATTTCTTCCAAGCAGGGAGTCTGGTCCTCACCCTCAAGGGCTTCAGTGTGCTGCAGGAGGAGGAGGATGTGCTGGTGAACACAAGCCTGGGGGATAGGAGTGGGCAGAGAACATGGAGCTGTGGAATCAGCAGTCTATCTGCCCTATGCAGAGAATAAGCATGAAGGACTTGTAACAGCAAACACTTCATTCTGTCCTGGCCAACTAAGGTGAGGCACTAGAGGGGAGTGGCCATCCTCCTCCAGTTTGAATCAGGGCAGCATGGCCAGTGGCCTGTGGGAACGTGAGCAGGAAGAGCTGGGCCATGCTGCAGCTGCACCCCTGCATGCCTCCCACTGGATGGTCACCTTCCGAAGGACCATGCAGGATGAAGAAAATCTGAAGGACGTGGTAATGTTCGCAAATGACTTGTTACAGCCTGGGGACCAATTCAGGATGGGGACTTTGGTTCCAGAATGCAAAATTGGGGCGGGAGCTGTGTGCCCCAAATCGGGGAGGCAGCGCAGGATGAGGAGAGTTCATGGCACAGCCTCTGCTGTAGGACCACAGCTGCATGGAGAACATGGACATACTTGTATGTGACAAGGGCGAGATGCAGAAACAGCTGGAGAATGGGTGCCAGCTGTGGGCAGCGAGGTTGTGGAAATTATGAAGATGCTTGAATCTCACCAGCAGAACTGGGAGGAAGATCCTGAGCTGAAGGGGAGGTTACTATGTTCAGCCAGCTCAGGTTTGCCACATCTTGGGGAATCCCCAGCTGCGGGATAGCCAGCAATTGGAGAATGGGAGCAGGCTGTGGGCTCTGAACAAGACAGGAGTGCTCGGCCAGCGGCAACTCCAACATGGATAGGGAAGAGAATGTCGGCTAGAACATGGCCAGCCTGAATGAGAAGCAGAAGCAGGACTTTTTGCCTCCTCCACAGCCTTGCCCCTGTGTCAAAACAAAGGGCTGCTAGTGGCCAGTGCTGGAGGGGATCCAGGTGAAGGCCCCCAACAAGTCCCTGCCCTCAGCTATATACTATATCAAGGACGTGATGGCCATCAAGGACAAGCACAGCAGGTGGGAAGAGTACCATGACTTCACCTAGGACTTCAAGGAGAAAGATTGCTTGAGGCCCACTTCAGACTGAATACCTGACCAGATGGGCCAGAAATTCACACCCAAGGTGGCTTTCCGGAAGCTGTCCCCCAAGTTCCCAGGAAGGGCTCAGGTAAGGTGAAGACGGAGCAGCACATGAAGAAGACGCTGCAGAAGTGGATGAGCTCCAGTGACGTGCCCCCGAGCACGGTGCTGTTACTCCTGGATGAGCAGAAGGCCCAGAAGATTCCACACCAGATGCTCGGTAGAAGTGGCAAAAGTGAATGTGGACACCATCGCCAAGTAAAGCTGCCCCCCTTCTGCTCCCCTCCCCAACTTTAATGTTAAACTTCCCTCCTTATTAAAAAGTCAGGTAAAAATAAATATGTTTACAAGTGATTATAGAAATATAAAAGGGTTAAAATTCTCAATGAAGAAAAACCAAAATGTGTCCAATTGTATAAAGGCTCTTCCCTTACAAGAAACAGGGATAAAGCTGAAGACCCAGTTTGGTTTTGCTGCTGAAATATACAAAATAACTTAGAAAAACCAGACAAGGTCAAATGTTGTGCACTCACTATCAGTGCCTGCCATCTTTTGATTTGAGGAACGTTGATAACCACAGTGCAAGGCAGAGCTGATGGTAGGAGAGCCAGGAGTTTCTCATTCGGAGTTCATCAGCCTTCAAGTCAATGCTGAAGAAAAGTGAGCCCTTAGTGAAGTCTAACCTCTGCAGTTGGCTGACTGGACTTCCTCCACTGTAGTGCTTGAAACAGTTTATCTCTTGGCCAGCAGACACACAGAAGAACCTGGAACAGCTGCCTTTAGCAAATGCCCGTGCTTCCCAAATATTGTATGTTGGGCCTGACAGTCAACCAGCAGTGTTACTAGAAGCTGAGGTCTGTGTGATGTGGCAGCTTCTGGCTCTGCCTGGAAAAACCTCGAGTTCATGGAAGTGAGAGGAAAGTGTCCGGGTTTGTCCATCTGTGGTTCAAAGAACATGTGGTTCCTTTGTAGGAAGCACCAGGTACACTAAGGTTTTCCTTCTCAGCTGCTCTCCAACTTAGGGCTGATTTTGAGGGGTTAGTTGGTCCCTCTGAAAAAGGACATTTGGAAAGTGAGCAGTTCCTAAGTCAAGGGCTTAACAGAACACCAGGCTTCAAACCCAGAAGCTGAGCAGTCTGTATTGCAAGTCTCTAGAAAAAATTGTTCTCCCCCATTCCCAAAGCAGCAGAGGGAAATTAAAACAGCCCTAAGGGGTATGAGAAAACAAGAATCTTAAGAGGGTAGGAACAAGTCATATCTCTTAGTTTAGTTTCTGGACAGAAGCAAGCAAATTCAGTAGCAACTATCCACATCCTGGCTTTATGAATTCTCTAGATAAGCTGGGTGTGGTAGCACACAGCTCTGATCCCAGCTGTGTGGGAGACTGAGGCAGAAGGATTACAAAATGTGAGGCCAGCCTGGAGCTAAGCAAGACTCAAAAAATAAAAATGGCTGGGGAGCTCAGGGGCACAGGACCTCTTGGTTTAATCCCAGGACCACAAAAAAAAAAAAAAAAAAAAAAAAAAAATTCCCTAGAGAAGCCACTGAGGAGAACGGGTAGTCTCACAGATGGCCAGCTTCAATTTGAGGGTTCACTTTGGCAACATTGAAAAGCTTTCAGTTAGGGGTGATTGTCAGTAATAGTAGCCTGAAAGTCACACATGTTAACCAGCTGCCAGCGAGTCTGTCCAATTCCAAGATGGCAGTCAATCTACAGAGAAGCTCCCAATATTCTTTTCACATGTGCAGAGGGCAGGCTTGCCTGTTGCAGCTTCTTGAAAGAGCCTAAACTCTTCCCCAGTTACCACCTTAACAATAGTAGCCAGGGCAATGATAGAGGTGACTGCCACTTTCTCACCCCAAACAATGAGTCTTTGAAGAAAGTGAAGTAAGGAGGATAAAATGTCAGAGCTGAATTTGAGAGGAATCCAGTAGTGTACAGGTTAAAATACTTAAGACTTGGCTTCGTATCTTGGGGTTTGATCGTTGTGGTAGTTGGCTAAAACATCTTATCTGCTCAGCAGTGATCACCACAAACAAGTTTAGAATTCATCCAGAAGTCTGACCAGTTTCCAAGTGGAACACTTTCATTCCAAGGGTTCCATGTGTTTAGCACCACCACAATCTCTTTGTTCTTCCTGGCAAACCTTCCTCTTTAATACGCACTTTTAAAAGCGGTTCTAAACCAAGCATGATGGCACACGCCTATAATCCCAGCACTCAGGAGACTGAAGCAGGAGGTTTGCTACAAGTTTGAGGCCTGCCTGGGCTACATAGTGAGTTCGGGGACAGCCTGAAATGTACAGTAAGACCCTGTCTCAAAAAAGGCAGAAAAAAAAAAAGCAATTCAGTGTCAGCTGGTATGGTGCCACACCCTTAATAGTTCCAGCACTCTGAGAGGCTGAGGCAGGAGGATCACAAATTCAAACCCAGCCCCAATAATTAGAGACTCTGTCTCAAAATTTTAAAAATGGGGTGGGGGTAGGGCAGATGTAGCTCATTGTGAAGGCCCTGGGTTTAAGCCCCACTACTACAAAAACAATAAAAAGTAAAAAAGCAGTTCAGTGCTAACTCCTAGTCTGGCTCATCCCTAGGACACTGAGATGTAGAGTGGCTAGGTCACATAAAGCACCATTCGTGGACCCTGTTTCTGATACCCAAAGATCAGGCCTCTGGACCTCATCGTATCTCAGGCACAATCTTAACTGCATTGATGATCTGTTGGTAAGGGAGGGGACATTCTTGGCTCAGATCTCTCAGTGGAAATTCTACCACCTCTGGTTATGTTCACATGGGCTAGGGGAAACTGTTCCCACAGGAAGTCACTGCTTGCTTATCAGAAATTGCCACAAAATGGAACTATCACTTGGTTTGGCACCTTTCTGAGTTCTCTCTGCACCCCAGGAGAGGAGGCAGAATCCTTTCCAGAGGCCAAACAGACAAGCAGCCTGAAAACACAAACACCCCCTGCCCTGAGCCTGAAAATCGGTGTCACCTCCTCTGAGCAGAACTGCCCAGCCCAGGCCATACTGCAGTCATCATTCTTTGCATTTTAGATTTGTCCCTTTGGACCATTAAACTAAAACACTGTACTCCCTCCTCCCCCCAACCCTATCTTTTCTCTTTCGTTCCCCCTTCCCTCCCTTACCCATTGCACTTTTCCCACTCTAGTTGGGGGCTGTGTCACACCTCAGCAAAAGCCAAGCTGTACTGCTCTGGCTTCTTCCCACATCGCCGAGCAATGATGGCCAAATACAGCATGAGGAGGGCCACCCAATAGCAGCCATAGAGGATGGCCCCAGAAACAAGGAAAGCTAGCTCAGTCTCACTGAACAGGTCCTGGCAATAAGCAGTATACGCCAGGCCCCCAAGAAGAACTGCCACCCAGATGGACACAGGGATGAGGCCAATGAAGTTCACCACAATGGTTTTCCGGCCTGAAGTCCCCCAGCCAGACTTGTTGATGGTAGCAATGGCAAAGATCTTGGCTGGCAGGAGGCTGGACATATAGAGAAGGGAATAGAGGGACATGAAGATCATCTCCGCATTGCCTCGAAGGAAGCAGGCATAGGTGGCCTTGATAATGCCCACCAGCTGCACTGTCAGCAGGAAGAGGAGAATGTTCCAGATGCGACCTCGGTAGAAAAGCTGTATGACTGTGGCAATCAGGAAGAATGGGAAGAAACCTGTGACCACCGATTCATAGGTCATCCAGAGGTGGTGCTTATGGAACCAGAGAGAGTTGTACAGCCACTCCCGGAAGTAAGACTTGCTCCAGCGTGTTTGCTGGTTGAGCCACCGGAGGTACTTGGTGGGCGTCTCTGTCAGGCACTTGGAGCGAGCTGTATACTTAGTCCGGTAGCCAAGGCTCAGGACTCGGTTGGTAAGGTGCCGGTCATCCCCAAAGCTGCACTTGCTGCCTAGAAACTTCTGGTGGTACCAGTCCTCCAGGAACTGCTGGAGGAGGCTGTTGCGGTACATGCCCAGGGGCCCACTAATACACTGCACACAGCCGAAGTAGGACTGGCAGGCCCTCTCGACGTTGAAGGCCATCCAGTACCGCACACTGCTCAGGAAGGAGATCCATGAGTCATATTTGTTGAGGATCTGCAAAGGAACAGAAATGCTGGGCTCCTCTTCTGAGGACCTGAGCCCCAAAGGAAACATACTACAGACCAGGAGGCTTCCCTACCCTGGGTTCTATGGTCCATTGCCCAAAATCCCTGGCATCACTACCACTGCTGAGCAATAGAGGCTAACAGGCTAAAATCTGACCATACCCACTCACTCTCTCCAGAGCCCGCCCCGCCTCCCTGCTGCACTCACCTTCCAGACTCAGCTGGTCTAACAGTCAGAGCTGCCTTCAGTCTCAGGAGAGAGGCAGTGGTGGTGGCAGAGAGAAGGCCTAGGAAGCCAACCGCCACCCTAGCCGTCCATCCCACTGCTTTTGTAGTTGTAAAGCTCTAGGAGATGTGCTATACTGTCTACATATCCTCTGTAGGAAGACCCAGCGCTTTGTGCTCAGCATATACTGCCCCGGGCTCTTCAGCCCAGGTCCTCTAGGCTTCTCAAGGGCCTGACTTGGGCCTAACCAAGAAGGAAGCAACCTTTTAAGATCTGCGGCCTTGGGGCTGGGGATTTAGCTCAGTGGCATAAGCGCCTGCCTTGCAAGCATGTGGTCATGAGTTCAATCCCTGGTACCAATTAAAAAAAAAAAAAAAAAAAAGATCTGGGCCTAAAAATTCTATAGCCCTCCCTTCATAGGATGTTACTATTCAGTGATTTTTTTTTCCTCTCACGTTGCAAAAAAGAGCAGGAAATAAATTATATTGCAAGTGAGGTGAATCCTCTGGTATCAGTGCAGACTGTCAGAGGGAAATGTCCCCCAAGTAGCAGACATAGCCTATTGGGTTAGGAAACAGAGTCCAGACCCCTACCCCAGGGATCCCTGGTTACTTCTTACTTGAACATCTCCCCCGACTCCCCCAACTTGGGGATCCTCCTCCAGGACTCGAAGCATCTCAATGGTGCAGGCTGGGTCCAGCACAGTGTCAGAGTCACACACCTGCGGGGGAGCGCACCATGAGCCTGTGTGGACTTCAGGTCTGTACAGTCCCCTCCCCTCCCTCAGCTGTCCACCACCAGGGGGAAGTAAGCCTCCTCCTGTGAGTCTCTCCCACTGGAAGTGGTGACCAGAAAAGGAGAGAGGAAAAACAAAGGCAAGTAAGGAAAAGGAGAGTCCGTGTCCAGGCTTGACAGCCAGCAAGCCAGAAAACCCAGGAGGCTGCAGGCCAGGTTTTGACCCTGCAGAGATAGGCTCCACAGAAACGGCTCACATCTTTATCTGGGGTCCTTGGGCAGGAAGGGGGAGCACGTCACTGAAATCACCTGGCAGGCACAGTGGATGAGAAAAGGACCAGCAGGCACTCCTCGGAAAGCTGGGAATCGGCTCCTGTAAGGCTTGTTCAGTGTCCCCACTTCAGTTAACCTCCAGCCCCTGCCGTGGGGAGCCTTCCATGAGACCACTAACGTGGTCCCCGCCCCGACACTGTATTTCAGCACCGACTCCCTCAGGCCGAATCTTTACGCCTGGGGCACCGTCTGGCCGATGGCCAGGCCTGCCTCCCCTCAGACCCTGGGTCAGATCCTGCCTGTGGGTCCTCCTTCCCCTGGGAGGCTCTGAAAGCATTAGCCTTATGACTGACTCCTCTGTTTTCTCAAAAGTAACTGAAAGAGTAGCGTCCAGACAACTGTTGACGGGGGACCTGGCTTGTCTGTGGTTGCTGTTCTCAATGAGCCCAAACCCTGCCCCACAGAAGCATACAATCCTTTCACTAAAATCTCTGGTGCAAGGTCTTGGATTCAATCCCCAGGGCCAAAATAAAAACGTTGCTGAGTAAGAAGCCATCAGCCTGCAGGAAGGAAGCTGCTTCTGACACCCCAAACCTGCCCAGTTTTCCTTCTCTGTGTTAGAAGACAGGGTGGCCACAGGTGAGCAACAGTAGGAGGCCAATCGAACATCAGGCACCAGTCTGGGTTCCTTTGTGTGCTTCTTCAGCCTCACCACCAGATACAACCTTCCATGCTGGTCCAGCCAGGGAAGGGCCCAGGGGTCCTCCAGCCATACTTGGTCTCGGCTTGCAGGCCTAGCAGCCCAGCGTTGCAGCTCTCACTACTACTCCCTGCCTGGACCCTGACCTGTTCTCCACACTGCACGGCCTCCTCTGCTCCTTTGAGGTCTTTCTAACTGAGCAGGGGGAGGAAAAAGAGCCCTGTCCTGGCTGGGGCGAGGACGTCTTCACAAAGGCACAGACACCATGCCCTCAGCAGCCTGTGGGAAACAGGCTCAACTCCAATAAGCAGTCACTGTGGCGCGGGCTGCCTTGGGCAGTGGTCCAGGGCCTAACGACAAAGACCTGGCTGGGGTGGGCATGTGTGGCGGTGGTGGGGTGTTTGCCAATCCACCAGAATACACAGGAGTTAACTGCGGAAAGGAGTTAAGTGGCAGAGCAGGTCTGGGGATCCTAAGGTAGCTGACAGTCATGGTAGCTTGAACACACAAGCCAGGGTTCAAGGCTTTTTCTTAAGCCTAGGAAGGTTTGCCAAAGTTCTCACAACCCCAGGTGAACTGCAGACTCAAACAACCTTCTAGGCTCACATCCCTCCCTACCCGGCTAGGAGGTCCTTGGGGCCTTGGAAGCAGAAAAAGAAAAAGGTATCAATTCTCATACCAGGACACACCTTCAAAAAAGCCAGAGTACAAAGCTAATTTTAGGTAGGTACACTATGGAAAATCTAAACAGAGGACTCAACGTGCTGTCAGACTGAATTGACACACACACGGGCTACCAAAATAGCCATCCTTCTTTCAAGCATTGAGGAGGCTACGGCAAACTCCTCGGACAGGCGCAGAGAAGGCAGAGCTAGACACAATCTGGGTGCTGTGAAGAATTCCAGGCCAGAACCTGGGACCCTGGGTTGTTCATTTCTGCGTGATACTGGGCATGTGAGTTTTAACCTCAGTTCTCTCTAGGCTATATTATTTGAGAAAGTTCTGTCAACCTAACAAAATTTCCAGGTGGTGCCAATGACCACTTAACCAGATGAGCAGGTCTGCTCAGGGTGCCGGCCTTGCTGGTGCTGTGGAAAGATGAAGCAGGAGGGTGATTCATCCCTGAGCGCCCACCCCCACCTCAGACCTGAACCGGGCCCTAGAACAGTGGGACACTGAGGCCCAGAACTTAAACACGGGAGTTTTTTAGGTGGGACTTCTCTCCCACAGTGGCGCTGCACAGACCAGAGATGGGCTGCTGGTGCTCACCTGGCTCTGCACCTTACTAGCAGGGTGATGTTAGGCCACTTACTCTGCGTGCTTCAGTTTCACCTCCCATGAGGAGAGTTAATAATAGTGCTCATCCCCTGGAGCATTAGGAGGATGAAAAGTAATCAATACAAGTGCCCATGAAAGTGCCTAGTGTGAAGTAAATGTTATACACCAGTTTGCTGCTGTTACTACAGGGACAACCAATTCAGAGGTCTGCCCAGAGTCACAGAACTACATGCCTGCATAACCACGTTTCCAGCCTGAGTATGTCTGACCTCAGCACCGCTTCAGAGCCAGCATGCCTTCTTGCCTGCTTCAGCGCAGAGGAGGGATGTGCACAACACTCAACTACATCAGACCTGAAGTCTGGAGAAAGTCTGCCCACTAGCAGACGACAGTACACTTCTGGGGACCTGTACCCTTACCTGGATGTAGTCCACAGAGTCGCCCAAGGCTTTGAAGGCTGTGTACATGACCTCGCGCTTGCCTCCCCACTTCTGCATGACACACGAGAAGGTGCTGGTGCGCACCACCGCCCGCACGCGCTCCATGCCCTCCTGCAGGCTGGTCTCCGTCTCACCCTCACCCGCCTCATGGAAGTTGCTGCGCCACACAAAGAAGCCCGCTTGATCGGTGCCGCCTAGCACCTCATGGAAGATGTCCAGCATGTAGGCGTCCTCCTGGCGATTGCCATCCACCACCATGACCACCTTGAGGTCGGGGAAGGCGATGCGCTGAGCTGAGCGCAGGCATTTGCGCAAGTAGTCAGGGTCCTCCTGGTAGGCAGCGATGCAGAGCGCCACAGCTCGCCGCCTGGAGCAAGGCAGCTTCAGCGGCCGCGCAGCCCGGCGCATGCGCCTGTGCTCCAGGAAGGCGAACAGGCTCTGAATGAGCAGGTGCAGGCCCAGGATGGCCCCATACAGGCCGAAGGACAGGTAGTGCTTTTCTGTGTGGATGAACTGGTATCCGGTCACGTAGGCTGCCAGGATACCACCCAGTACCGCCAGGGCAAACAGGCTGGTGCCCACCACACGCAGGGCTGTCGTCAGCTGCACCGGCATCTGGTGGAAGAAGGTAGGAGACGCAGGGTCAGGCAGGAGGCAGCGTTCGCGCCCAGCTGAGATCCGGTATTCTTGGAGTCCGGCCCACAACAGTGCAAGGGACCCAGGAATAAAAGTGATAACCACTTAATGAACATAGCGCTAAGGCCATCTGGAGACTCAGAAGCCAGAGTGCTGGGTATGTCCCAGCTCTGCCGCTATCTGTGTTGGCCTTTAGTTATTTCTTCTGTAAAATGTAAATTGCAGTACTAATCTCCCAGCATCTTGCAGGGACAAATGGGCACATGTGAGGTTATTGTTAGAGAAAACAAAGACCAGGGTTAGGTGACAGCCCTGGTAGATGGCAGACTGAGATTTGTCCGAGCAAAGCTCTTAACAGGGAAGCTTCACTGGGGTGAGCCTGAGGCCAGGGGCAACCCCAGTACAAACAGGGATGACAGGTGGGGGGGGGGGGGTGCAGGAGAGGAGGGTCAGGGTGGTGGGTGACTGGTGACCTAAGAGCACAACCCCAGGTGCGTAAGAACTGGATTCTAGGAGGGGACCATTTACCCTTAAAGCATAGCACACAGTCCTTGAAGAAAGCAAGGGAGGCAAAGACCAGAAACCACAGGAAGCATAAAAAGAGGTGTCAGGGGAACAAAGATCTACATGGCTTCCCCTGCTCACAGCAAAATCAGCATGAGAAACTTCCCTGTGTTCGCCTTTCTCACCTTTTCCTCATTTAGTGAAAGGCAGGAAAGAAAGGGAAAGCCAGAGGGAAAACAGAGGAGGGAGGAGGAGGGAATGAGAGCCGGGGTGTGGACAGCCCTCCGAGCAGCCACCACTGCAGCAGCCGCACAGAGGTGGCTGCCTCGGGCGCCCGTCCGCCCGGTCCTAGTGCCGCTGGAACCTCTGGGTTCATCCCTGGGCCCGGCCACTCCTGGAATTCATGCCAAGTTTCCATCTGCAGTTAAGTTGGGGCTCCTACAGTCTGCCCTGTTGGAAACAGCTGTGCTTTAATGAGAAAAGCCCAGGCTTGGCACCAGAAACTTGGCCTGAGACGAGCTCTGCTCCCTCTTGGCTGCCTGACCTTGCCCAAGTTCTCTAAAACCTGGTCTCCAGTGACTACAGTGGGGGTTCCCACGGCTTCTCCCTTCTCAGGTCTCAGGTCTCAGGTAAATCATTTCCCTGAAAATGGGAATGTCAGCCCTGGAGGAGCTTTCCTCCAGATGGCCAGAAGGCTGTAAAGAAGAGAATGGGTGCAGAGCTGACAAAGCCTCCTTCCTGCCCTCCATTCTGACCTAAGCCTCTGAGGATCTCTCCTTCCCACCGGCCCCATCTGAAGAACCCAGTTTCCACCCTGGGACTCCAGACGACCAACCTCTCCTTCCAAGCTTGTTCCAGCTCTCACTGCAACCAGCCTCTGAGCCGCACACAGTTCCCTGCCAGGGGACACCTCTCACACAGGAGGGATAAGAACCATGCAGCCACTGCCTAAATCAGCCCGATTTAGACACCAGTTAGGCACCAGCAGCGTTTAGGCAGCTGAGATCGGAAAGGGCAGTTGGCAGCCTGGCCTCTCCGGGAAGCACGTCCCCGGCCTCTGGCCCCACCAGCTAAGGGATCTGGCGGCGCGCTTCCTCTGCAGGGCTCCCACCCCCCCACCCCAACGACTGCGGCCCAGGGCCCGCATCCCTGCCCCAAAAGGGTCCCTGTCCCCCTCCGGGGCTCAGAAGCCCAAGGGGCGCGGCCAGCTCCACTGCCCGCCTGTGCTCGCCCGGGAAGGGACAGGAGGTGCGCGGGGCTAGCCCGTCCGCCATCAACCTTCTGGGTCCTGGCTCCCCGCCTCGGTGCAGTGCCGGAGACGGTGCCCACCGGGTCACTGCGGCCACAGAGGCACTCGCTAGGCTTCCTGCCCTGCTTGAGCTTCACCGCCTGGCGAAGGTGGCGTGCGCGCCACACCCACGTGCCGGTTTCCCACGACCCAGCCGGGAAGGAATGAAAACCCCCTGGAATCACAGTGGGACCAGGGCGTGCGTGCATCTTCCCGAGGCCCCAGTCACCTTGGCAAAAGTGTGTCTGCAGACAAAGGCGGCATCCCTGGTGTCGCCAGTCTCCTCCTCCCCGGGGTGGGATCCCTCTCTCCCGCAGGAATTAGAGGCACTGCCTCGGTAACCCTCCTTCCCACAGAAGACCCGAGAAGGTCCCGCAGCCGACACCCCACGTGTAATGAGCCGCTGGGGAGAGCTCTGGCTGAGGTGCCCAGCCCAAACACCCAAAGCCTGCGGAAGAGGGGGGCGGAGCAAGGTGATCCCGTGTCCTCCCCCCCATCCTCACAGCCCCATCCTCACAGCCTTCGCTCAGAAGGGGTCCACGGGAGCCCGTGCCGGCTGCCCAGCGCGCAGTGGGGTTCAAGGGCAAGAGCTGGGGGCGCTCCCCAAGGCCGGCCTCGCGGAAGACCAACGGAGGAAAATCTCCAGCCAAGGGCGCACGCTTCCCCATTCAACCCCGAAACTTTGAGGGGCTGCCTGGTAGGCAGCGTCTCTCCTGCTGACAGGTGCGCCCTGCTGCGGGACCCACACGCGGCGGGATGGAAACTTGTGCGTGCGGCAGGGGCTCCTTCCACGGCGCCAGGGCGCCCTCCGGTCTGCTCTCAAAGCCCGCGAAGGAGAAGGAGCCAAGTTGGGAGGACACGTGCAGCGAGGGTCGGGCTAACCCGTAGGAACCGGGGCGCCGGGGACCTCGGTGTCCCCGCAGGTGCGAAGACCCTGGTGGGCGTGAATGGGGGAGAAGTGCTGCAGCCAGCCAGAGCCCGCGCCCTCCCCCGCCTAATTCATTCACAAAACAGGAGCCCCAAGGGAGGAGGAAGGAAGGAGAGGATGGAGGAAGAAAGGGAGGAGGGGTCGGCGAGGAGGGGGTGCCGGAACCGCCGCCGGGGAGCCCGGGCTGCCGCTGCCCCCAGCTCACCTCCCTGCGCCCGCGGACGGGGAACCCGGTGCGCAGGGCCCCGGCGCAGCCCCCGGCCGTCCCTGCACTCACCGTGCTGCCTGCTGCCCGCGCTCCGGTGCTCAGCAGGCCCGCGGCGGCTCCATGCCCCTCCTCCGGCTCCGCGCCACCGCCTCAGACTGAGGAGCGCCGGCCCCGCGGAGCCGCCTTAAGTACCGAGCGCAACCGGCCGGGAGAGGCGCCCTCCTCCGGCCCGGGGCCCGGAAAGTTGGCAAGAGTGGGAGGGTTCCACCGGGAAGCACCCAGTGCCCGGCTTAGTCGCAAGGAGCCCACGACCCGGGGTGTCGCGGGCTCAGAGCTCCGCGGGGAAGCAGCTTCACAGGTCCGTACAAGCAGCTTTTGCGCCCTCTCAGGAATGGGGTTCCCCCAGTATGCCCCAAAGCCGAGCTGCTCCACGCTGCCCAGCAGAGCCTAGGCCAGCTGCCCAGGGCCTGCGGTTATTGTGCCCAGTCTAGAGCTCGCATGTTGTTAACTTTCAAGGTGATCCTCCTCGGGGACCTCCGAAATCACGACTGTCCCCACCCCCACGCCGCGCCTTCCAAGCCTGGAAACCCACTCACCCTACAAGGCAGGAGAGCCGGACAGACCTCCTCCAGCTCCTGCTGCACGCCAAGGGGCTGATCGCTGGAAAAGGGACACCCTGAAACGAAGGCAGCACAACCTTTCCAGTGGCGAGAGGAGAAAAGAATAATTATCAAATATAAAGAGGCTGGTTTAAAGAAGGTGCTTACAATTGTGCCAAGCTTAGCTTTAATTCCGCAGTGGGGCGCTGATGACATTAAGACTGTTTGCAAAAGCTGCATATGGTTTTTACTGCAACCTTGTAAATTCCGGTGTTTTGACGCCAAACCACCTCCCACCCCCATTTACACCTTTGTTTTCCTGACCTCCTAAACCCCACTAACCGCATCCCAGTAGTTTCCTAGTTCTTTAAAAAGCTGGTGCTAGACTTGGGTGAGTAAAGTGAAGGAGGGTGGGGAGAGGAAAGTGTTAGGAAGAAAGTTAGAACCTGCTGAAAACGCTTTTACATCTTGGAAAAGCTTTAAGATAAATGATAATTAAAACTAGTAAAAAATGCCAGGAGTTGTGGTATATGCCTGTAACCCAGCATTCAGGAGTCTGAAGCAGGAAAAGTGTCAGAAGTTCAAGGCCAGCCTGGGCTGCACAGTGACTTCAGAGCCAGCAGGCACTACAGTGACATGCGGTCTCAAAAAACCAACCAAACCAAAAACAGTAAAAAATGAATTATGTGTTGTCTAAACACATCTGGGTTAATTTCCATCACTTTTTAAGCATCAACAAATTTATAGGGTGGGCAGCAATCTGTAACCTGCTCTTCTCACGAGTCTTAGGGGTGAAGATCTTGCCTGACCCCTGAACCCCTGGCCAAAGAACTGAGCCACACCCCAGCACACTTGCTTCACCTGCTCCCATGCAGCAGCACAAACACCCAGCTTTTTCATATTGCTTCAGAAATCATCTTAGGGTGTTTGAGATACAAGTGTATGACTTTGGAATACTTACTGAACCCACAGTAGCGTTGACCTTCAGATGGCCTGAGGGCCCAATTACGGCTGTTACCGCCAGATGGGGTAAAGGAGGGCTCAGGGGTCAGCCAGTCAATTTTGCCACCAAGTTGTGAGACTGTAAACTTCAGTGTCCCTAGCCCAGCATCAGGTTGTTACAAGGATCCTTAGGAGGCTTAGTGATTGGCTGAAAGTGCTCAGTGAGCTCCAGTTACCCTCACCCAGAGTGTGGTATCATGTGCCCGTGCCCATCCTTCCAGAGCACCCAGTGACCGAAGTTTAGGGACTGGTGTTGAATACAAGAAAAAATGCTTTGTCCCTATTGAATCACGGGCCTGGGGAGCTCTGGGCCACCTGTTCATAACCAGAGGCATCAGGGAACCTGGACCTGCCCAAACTTCAGGATCGATCCTACCTTCACCCCCAAAGTTGTAGCATTTCAGATCAGGGAAAATAAGCAGGGCTGAGCAAACAAAAATGGGTTCATGGTGCTGTGGGGTGACCCAAGGAGGATCCTCTCCCTGTGGAGAGAGGGCCCGAGGTGGCCAAGTGGCCTATCATCAAAAGCCAGAAATCCAGACCTTCAGGTAAAATCTCCTAATTTTTAAGAGTTGACAACTAATTCAAATATTTTAAAAGGTACTCGCTACAGAGAGTATGTCTGACTCATATTCAGCCAATTCAACACTTGTAAGTGACCCATTCAGGAGCACGAGGAATGGAGCAGCCAGTTTGGAATGATCCCTCTGCCCTGGATGGGACAGCAACGTGAGTTCTCTGGGTGCGGGTTCTTCACGCCAGGGCTCACCTCCTGCCTGTTTTCTAAGGCTCCAGCTATGACCTACAAATTTCTTGCCTGTCTCTCTCTGCTGGCTCCAGAGTGGGGCTGGTTCAGCACAATCTCACCAGTTAATTAAAACCTCCAAAATGAATACATATCACAAGAACAGTCAATCCGCTGCCCATACCAATTGGCTTTGCCCCTAAATGGCTTCCTCTAGGGAGCAAACTCTCCCTTACCGATCTGCAGGGCCAGGGATGACCTGGTGTTATCAGGCAGATAAGAGAGTCTTTACCTTTGTGGGGTCTGTACCAGGCAGGGTTGATCCATAAGTAACATCCAGTCTGAGGTGTCCCAGTGCATTCATTCATCCCTACCCGAGGTGGGGAGGGAAGTCTTTAAGGGAGACACAATAAAGCTGAGCTTATCTCTGCTAGCACTGGGGATTTAGAAATGGGCTAATTTCATATCCAATCACAAATGTGAATTAGATGTTGCTGAATTGGCTTTTATGTGATTTTTTTTTAAGACAAATTTTCACTATATAGTCCAGGATGGCCTTGAATTCACTGTGTAGCCTAGGGTGGTCTTTTTTTTTTTTGTCTTTTTCCTTTTTATCAGTACCAGGAATTGAACTCACGACTGCCTGCTTGCAAGGTAGGCGCTTATGCCGCTGAGCTAAATCCCCAGCCCCCTAGGGTGGTCTTTTTTTGTTTGATGTTTTGTGTTTTGAGACCGGGTCTCACTATGTAGTTCAGACTGGCCTCGAACTCACTATGTAGCATAGGATAGCCTTGAAGTCAGTGATCCTCTTGCCTCAGCCTCCCCTAGTGCTGGGATAACAGGCATATCCCCATGCCTGGCTCCTAGGCCGATCTTGTACTCCTCCTGCCTTAACCTGCTGAGTACTAGAATTACATACTGTATCACCATGTCCAGCAATGGTTTGAATGTTAAATGTGTTGAAGGTTTGGTTTCTAATGCAGTGATGTTCAGAGGTGGGGCTTTTAGAAGGCATCTGGCCTCACTGGTGGGTTAACCCACTGATAGATTCAGAGTCTGATGGCATTATCAGAAGGAGTGGGATTCAGGAGGTGGGACAGAGTTGAACAAAATGGGTCATGGCTGCACCCCTGGGGACTGTATCCTGTCCCTAGGCTTTTCTTCTCTGGCTCTCGCACCAGAGACTGGAGTCTCGATAGCGGCTTCTGCTTACTGGCTGCCATGAACCCTTCTAACATGATGTTTCTGCCTCACCACAGGACCACAGGCAATGGAGTCATCTGACCATGGAGTAAAACCTCTGAAACCAAAGCAAGCCTTTCTTTCCCCTCTGGTATCCTCAGGTATTTTGTCACGGATTCAGGAAGCTAACACACAGGTTTCACAGGCTCAGCCTCCCTATTTGTCTCAGCAGTAAAAGATCCACACTGCACTTTTCGTGGTCACTTAACAAATGGTGAACACCAGCTTAGAGCAGATGCTTCAATGCCTAAAAAGCCTTACGATGGTCTCTGCTATCTAGATGGTTTCAAGGCAAATGCAGTTGAGAAATTAAGCCACCAAACAAGGCCATTTATAATTAAATGTTGATGAGGAATCTAACTAAAAGAGATGAGGGATTTTAGGAAAGAGATATCTGGGGTGTTTTTATTTTGATTGTGCTAGGGATTGAACTTACGGCCTCACACATGATAGGCAAATGTTCTACCAATGAGCTAGGTTTCCAGTCCTTTTTTTTTTTCTTTTTTCTTTTTATCGGTACCGGGGATCAAACTCACGATCGCCTACTTGCAAGGCAGGTGCTTAATGCCACTGAGCTAAATCCCCAGCCCCTCCAGTCTTTTTTTAAAACTGATTTTGAGACACAGTCTCACTAACTTGCCCAGGATGGCATCAAACTTGCAATCCTCCTGCCTCAGCCTCCCAGAGAGCTGGGATTATAGGCATACACCATCTTGCCTGGCTGGGAAAGAGCTCCATGGGCTGCAGGGATGTTCTGCGAAGGAAGATTAGCTTAGGTGCAACAACAGGTACAGGAACGGGGGTAGCACATCTGAATCACAAGAGAGAAAACCGGATGAGATAAAATTACACCGAAGAACTCCAAAAGTGCCAGCTAAGGAATTCCAGCAGCTCTGAGGAGGAGGATGCTAGGGAGAGCTTGCAGAAGGTGTTGGGTGACCAAAGAAGGAGGCTGGATTTTATCCAGTTGGTTATGCCCAAGCAAGGTAACAACAGGTCAGAAGTGCTGCTTTGGGGGAGTCTGGGCAATGGTGTCGGGGATAAAGATCTGCGGGCAGGCGGCTGAGTCCACAGAGGGTGAAGGGAAGCGAAGGGAGGACGGAAGGGTCTGAAGTGGGGAGGGCGGTCCTTAGGAGATGAGGCTGGTGTAGCTGGAGAGAAGGGGGGCCTTTCGCACTTGGGGGTCACTGAAGCTGATGTTCCACAGATGAAGATTTAACCTTTCGGAGTCTGCAGTTCCAAACGCACGAGATGCTCAGTACCTTCACCACAGGAACCCGCCATTCCAGCCTTCGTGCTCACTGGTACTTGAGGCCGGGAACATCCCTGCCAGCAGGCTGGAGCCACCGCTTCACCCTGCGCCGCCGGCCTCCTGGCCAGGCCTTGCACAGGGTGGCTGGGGCCATCAGCTTGGCCCTCAGGTCGCTCCTCACCCACTGCCCGCAAGCTTCAGTGCTCCTCCAGGCACCCAGTCTGTGACTTCTAGCACACCCAGACTGAGGGACAGCAGCGGGGCTGTCCTGGCTTCCTTTGTCCTTCCAGGTTTCATGCCATCAACGTCTCCTGGGCTGACCACCATTACCACCTTTTCGTGTGAATGAAGATGGATTTAAAGTGGTTTCCAAACTGGCCACTGTGGCACATTCCTGTAATACCAGTGCTCTGAGAGAGGCTGCAGCAAGAGGATTCCAAGTTCAAGCCCGGCCTGAGCAACTTAGTGACTCAGCAAAATGAAAAATTAAAAAAAAGCTCGGTCAGCAGGTCCTGGGTTCAATCCTTAATACCAGCCCCAAAATGACTGGGGATGTGGCTCAGAAGTAAAATATTCCTGAGTTTGACTGGCTGCAGTACTGTAGATAGACAAATAACAATAAGTAAGATTACAAATAAAATGGCTTCTATACTGTTCACCAATAATCCCAACTATTTAGGGAGGCTGAGGCAGGAGAATTGCTTGAGTTCAAGAATTCAGCACCAACCTCGGCACCACAGCAAGCAGGACCTTGTCTTCAATCAGCAAAACCCGTGTACATAAAATGGCTTCCAAATAGTAGCCGTTATGTTCCCGGTGCTGACTAAGGCTTTTTCTTCAAGGAGCTTAAACTGCAGTACTAGTTAATACATAGTTCAAGGTAGGACGCGTGTGCCTGGACTCCAGGAAGGCAGCTCTGGCAAACAGTCACCCACTCCTCACTTTCCCTCCTGCTGCCGAGTGCTAGCAGTCAGCCCCATGTCCAGATGCCAGGTTTGAAGAAGCAGGTTTGAGGGCCTTCCCAGACGCAGTTCCAGGGGCTCGATTTCATTCCAGCCCTTTTCCTGGGGGTGGGATGGGGGGCCTTTTCATTTGAAATGAAGGGGCTTCTACTCTGCTCCGCACAAGGACTGGGGGTGTGGATGCTGCCTTGCTCAGGACAAGAGGCCACACTGGACTGATAACCAGACTAGGGGTGCTGTTCCTGGAATCCTCAAAAGGAAAAGCTCTTCTCTACCACCTTTCCTGTCTCTCCTTTCCTAGGTGAATGTGGGAAACATCTAGAATGCATCCATCAGCCTTACTCAGCCTTCTTCAAGGAATCCTGTGTAGCTACTAAAATGTATGTTCATGGAGACAGTGTACAAATGTGCCAAAAACACTATGATGCTTTGTCAAGTAAGTACACAGGTCACAAAACTGTTACATATGAAGACTAAGGTTCTGTTGTTTTCTTTAGAATTCTATGAGTTTCTGGGCATAGTGGCACATGCCTGTAATCCTGGTACTCAGGAGGCTGAGGCAGGAGGATCACCAAGAGTTTGAGGCCAGCCTAGGCTAACTAAAGGCCATCCTGAACTACACAGGGAGACCCTGTCTCAAAACAAAACAAAATTCCTACAAGTCAAAAGGCAAGAGAAAATTCTCCTAACTCAGATTGGATATTAAGATCATATTTAATATTATTAGGCCTCATATTAAGATTTGGATAGAACAATAGAGCTTTCTGTACCTTTTTTCCTGAATTCTCTGCATTTTCTGTTCATAAATATAATTTTGTAATGGCGAGGTATTTTTAAATGGTCTGAATTCTGATTTCACAAAATTTCCTTCCAGCTTGAGGCTGACTGTAATTTAGCCTACATAAAACATGGGGAAAATTTATGGGGAAAAGTTCTGGCCATTTCAGATGCAATCAGGTGTGTTTAGGGTGGTATGGCTGTAGATGGTTTTAGCCATTTAAATTCACAATTTTAAGCAGTAAATTAAATGGCGAGGGCCAGAGCATAAGATTGATGGCAGACAAAACTTGGAGTGGCTTTGCTGACAACCCTCTGTGCCTTTGAGGGAACTTAGCGGGTGAGGGAGCCCCCAGAGCTACACCAGCTCCTCCAGCACCTTTGAGTGAATTAAAAAAAGTACTCGGTGTGGCTCGCACCGGCTGCCTTCCACCCCACTGCCCACCTCGCCCAGGCCTGGTGATACTGAACAAGGGAAGGAGTCGCTTTCCTCTAAGAAAGCATTTCCAGTAACTGTGGTGGGGGCACCAGTGCCCTCTGCCCAAGGCAAGGAGAACTTAAGCCTTCCTCAGGGCAGCACCCTCGTTACACATCCATACTCACTGGACGTAACTCACTGTGACACCAAGTGGCACACACGCACAGCATGCACACACCCAAAGTGTGGCTGAACACAATCTCGTCTAGGGTCCCAGTTGCCAGATCAGCAGCGGGGAACAAACAGCTTAAATACTGCTGCTCTGAATTCCTTTGCCTCCTTTTACAGTGTTATCAACCACAACTCTTCAATGTGCTGGCACTTCTGCTTTCTGTCGTCTTTCTTGATTAAAGATATCATTTGTCACTGTCACAAAGGAGGCTCAAAGCTGGGCCCTCCATAAAAGTATTTGTTTGTTTGTTTTTGAAGTGCAGGGGTCAAACCCAGGGCCTTAGCACTACAACACCAGCCCCATAAAAGCATTTAGAGAGAAGAGCTGAGGACTGAACATTCTTATCAATGACTGTATGGGGAGGGATCTCCCCAAAGTGTGTGCTACTCATAGATTTTTGGGGGTGCTAGGACATGCTCCTGCAAAAACACAAGCCAATCAGTGATTCTCACACTTAGCTATTGTACATTAGACTTTTAAAATTTGGGGAGCTTTTAAAAAAATCTCTAATGCCTGGAACACATCCCAGATCCATTTAGGGACTCACTGGGGTGGGCCCCAGGCTTCACTATTTTACAGTTCCGGGGTGACTCGATTATGCATCCAGGTTGAGCGCATACCCCTAGGGTTCTCCTTGGCTGAGATCTGCACGTGCATTTCTGGCACAGAGAAGCCAGCAAAGGCGCCAGCCCCATGGCATAGGAGAAGAGCAGCTCCCTGGTGTATGCACCTGTTTGAAATGAGCCGACCTTAAAAACTTAAAAAATGAACAAATGAGCTAGCAAGCCAGAAGGGAGAAAGCAAAAAGATAAAGGATGCAGATTTGAACTAAAAATTAAGAAGCTAGGCCAGAGGACAGGGCAAAGTCAATCCCCAGTCTCTCCAATGCGCCAGGATGGGGATTTCAATGATCTTTTTATTGGCAAAGATGATACCTGTTTTTTCCTCCTAGAGAATTGAGAAAAAGCAAAACTAAAGCAGTTAGCCCTTGCCGTGGGAGAACACAGCTGCACAAACACCGTGGGTTAGCTTTGCAATCATGGAATGTCTACATTTTAGGGGCCTTCCTGACTCAGGGGATGGGGAAGTTCTCTCCAGAGCCTCAAGAGGGGCCTGAGTAACACTTCTGGGGCACAGGGTTCTCACAGCTCTCAGACAACCCTGCTCTTGATGATTTTTTGTTTTTGTTTTTCAGAAAGGATTTCACCAAGTTGCCCAAGCTGGCCTCCATCATGATCCTCCTGCCTCAGCCTGCTATATGCCAGATACTGCCACGCACCATTACATTCAGCTACAGCCTTATTTTCTTGAAATTGCTGATCAACACCTTTTGGGGAAAAGGCTCACCCCGGCTCTAAAGTGCCACCATTATTATTCTCTTAGTTAAATCAGCTTACTTTGAGGCTGGACTTGCTCTAGGATTCACTGCTCGCCATGGATTTTGAAGTTTTGAAAGTGGTGTGTGGTCCAATTAAAGTGTGTACACATGGGTGGGGTGGGGGAGGCTCTTCCAGACTCTGGCAGTGCAGAGCAGGCGCTTTGTTCTCCCCAGCGCCAGGTGGCCACCTGTGCGTGTGAGGACCAGGGCTGCACAGCAGAGAAGCCCCACCCAGTCCCGCTGCCAGCTATCTTCAGCTCATAAGGCAGAAAGTGCAGGTGAGATCTACGTCATTTAATAAGCAACTCAAAGGCTTGGTAACTTCCCCAGTTCCCCAGCAGAGACACACCAGCAAGGCTCCACAACCGCTCTCCAAATTGCCCTCTCCTGACCAACTGGCCTCAGCCCCTCTGCAGCTCAGGAAGCTTCTCTGCTCACCTGCACTCACCGCTCCCATCTGGACTCTTTGTTTTCTATTACCTCTATTTGTTTTCCATTACCTCTCTGGACCTTATTTTTCCCTTCCTCAAAAGAGGACTATTCATCTGGCCTGTTTTTCCCCTCTGAAAGAATGGTATGGGATCAGGGATATTAATGTGTATATGCTTTGGGCTTCTCACAGGAAATTACAGCTCAAAATGATATGCTGCTATTCTGAAAACGAAATCTAAGAGCTGAAGGTCTGCTCACAGGATAGCAAAGGGTTAGAGCAACTACCACCTTCAAAACAGACATTTCTGGCCCTTGGTTGGAGTTCACGGGAACCCTGCCTGGCTGACTTGCTACATTTTCTATGTTGCACATTTGTGAGTGGCCCGCTGCCTCCTGTCCCCAGGAAGGTAGCCCTTAGATGTCTTGGCCACCCCACGAAGGAATAAAAGCTGCCGCACAACTGTAATCCCAGCACTCTGGGAGACCCAGGCAGCAGAGGATAGTTGAAGGCTATAGTTGGGTAATTTATGGAGACGCTTACTCAAAATGAAAATACAAAATGGCTCAGGATGCAGCCCACAGCAAAAGCTCAGAGCAAGGAGGATGCAGCTAAGGGCAAAATCCCAGGAAAGACAAAGAGACAAGGAGGACAATGAAAGAGAGGAGGAGGAGGAGCAGAAGGAAGAGGGCAGCGGGGAAAGCGGAGCAACAGCAAAGCACAGAGCAGGTGGGCTGGGGCACGGGAGCCTGTGGTGAACTACATGACCAAACACAGTATCTGTAACGAATTCTGCTGTCAGAGGTTGTGTTTTGATGTAAGAGGACACTATTTTGAGGGAATTTGGGGTGAAGCTTAGCCTGACATAGGTGGTCCATTTAAATAAGCAGATTACCACCTTCTTTATCCTCACACTAAGAACACATGTTTACGGTTTGGAAACAGAGTACGTATTGGGTAGCAGCAAAGCCCCGTGGTTAAAAGCACAGCCTTTGGAGCCAGACTGCCTGGGCCCAAATACTGGTTTGTCTGCTTATTAGCTATGTTATCTGGAGCAAGTAATTAGCCTCAGTTTTCCCATCTGTAAAACAGGGGTAATAATGATACCTATCTCACAGGGCTGTGTGTGAGGATTCAGTGTTTAATATGTATCAAGTGCACAGAAAGGCATAATAAGCTCTCTGTAGTGTAACTGCCACCATGATTACTATGTATAGCGACAAAGAGCAACACCACCATATCCTGAGGTTTACAGGCTGAGCCCAGCTTCTTTCCACAGTTCCTGGAAGCCACTGGAACCTCTAGTTGGGCCAGGGCTGCCGAAGTACAAAATGTGTCAGGTGCCCCCATTGGGAGTTTTGGTACACAGACAACTCCAGGCTCTGAAAATTTCCTATTTCTGAATTATTTAAAGGATGTATCAACACTCTTGTTTTAGAGAATGAGCCTATATTTTATGAGTATTAAAGCAATGTCAGCTGAGGCTTGGAGGAGTGTAGATTGGGGATATTTTGGTAAATAATATTTAAAGTATTCTTATCCATTTGATCCAGGATTCCAACTTCCCAAGACTTGTTTTATAGAAGCACTTGAATATGCAAAATTATATTTGGGAATCATTGGAACTAAGGAACAACTAACCATCCACAGACAAAGGTTTAACCAAAGTGTAATTCACAACAGAAGACACGTCACTGTCCCTGTCAGAAGGGAAGGGATCTGTAAGTACTCACATGAGTGGGTCCAGGGCAGATGACTAAAACTATCTGCATATATACACGTTATTATGTAATGTAATAAAATAAAATATGGTAATAACAAAGATGTGGAGGGATCATGCATTTGTTTCTTAGTGGCAATCTTGGAGTCACAGTAGAGGGCAGACTGGGAATCTGCCTTTGCTATGTACGTTAAATTTGCTGTAATTCCTGTTACACGTGTACATGCACAGGTGCAGCCAGGGCACTCGTCCCTGGGGGCAGCGCCCTCCTCTCATCCTCAGAAAGTGCTGAGGCTGCACAGGGAGGTGGGAGGTGGTCCCAGAAAATCAGTGGGGCTCCAAGAAACTTCTTCACAGGTCCCACAAGCTGGGGTTCATGTCTATATATGGGCACCCAAGTTTGCAACTCAAATAATCCTCTACTTGGAAGGCTTTTGCTTCTACACTTATTTTGGGGAAAATAAGCTATAATAGTCTTCAGCAAATGTTCAAAATATTTCATGGAGGGCCTTCCAAGGTAGTAAACAGGATCTTGGCTGGGACTCAGGAGACTCAGAGCCAAATCCCCCCAGAGAGGGACAACAATAGCTTGCCTCCCTGTTTCACAAGGTGGCTGTAAAATCAAGACAAGCTCTGAATGGAAAATGACTTTCCAAACTAAAGCAAACAGAGGGCAACTAATACTGCCACTCTATGTTCCCTGGGGACTGCAGAAGGTCACTTGCAGGGGTGGCACAGACCTATTGAGGCACTGGGAAGAACTGTGGGACGGACCCAGGGCTGACCCCTATCAAACGCTAAGGGAGGGTCTGCATGCCACCTCCCTCCAGTGAACTCAGGCAGCCCCAAATGGCCAGCATAGCAGAGACAGTCTGGGGACAGTAAGAAGCCAGCAGATTCCCAACCCCTGCCTGGAGCTTTGGCTCCAAGCAGAGTGGTGCATTAAGTCTGGGTGCTGCAGACTGCAGGGAGGCTGCTGCATGTGACTGCAGCACGAGCCTGTGGAGGACACAGCCAGGCTTGCTGCTGGGGCTGTGGAGAGCACCAGAGGGCAGGGAGGCAAGACTGGCTCACAGCCCACCCCCTACCCCAGTCATAGAAATTCCAGCTCAGAGTCAGAATTTCTGCTCAAAAACTGCAGGAGCCTACCTGATTTTGTACAGGTCACATGGCCCATCCCCCAACTTATTCCTAGAATAGATCAACTTTCCCATGTGGCAGCTATCCTCCACTGTGGCAAGCTGCTGGCGAGAGCCACAGGCAGGTGGCAGGCAGCACTCACTCAGTGACCCTCTCAGACAAAGGGACAGTAGGTGGGTGGACTGCGGACAGATTCACACATTTGCTTTCCTCTTTATTTTTGCTGCCAAAGAGGAACGGTGAGGACATGCAGAAATCAAAGCCAAGTAGGGGTGGAGTAGGTGAAAAGGGATGGGGCTCACAGCTTTCTTTTGATTGAGGGGGAAAATATGGCTGAGCATGGTTATATGCATTTCCTACTTATTGCACGTATCATTTTGGCCCCTAAGCATTTTCCAAAAACAAGGGAAACCCAGTCATGTCTGTAAGCCCAGCACCCTAAGAGGCTGAGGCTGCAGGATCATAAGTTCAAATTCACTTTGGGCTAACTTAGTAAGGCTGGCTCAAAATAAAACATTTTAAAAAGGGCTGGGGATGTAGCTCCAAGTGAAGCCCCTGGTTTCAGTACTAGCACCTCAAAACCAACCTAAACAAAACAGAAAAAACCACAAAGCTGAAAGGGCTTCAGGGAAAGTCTGTGGCTACCCTACTCAGGACCGCCTCTCTTACTAATCTCCCCCACCCCTTTAGAGGGTCTCACCATGTAGCCCAGCCTGACTTTGAACTTGCAGCTTCCTCCTGCTTCAGCTTACTGAGTGCTGGGATTATAGGTGTGCACCACCATGCGCATCTCCGCTCTGGCCACATGAACCCTAGCTCTTCCTCACCCCTGAGGATTCACCTTCACCCTTGGACCGTCACACCTGCTATTTCTCTTACCTGGGATGCTCCTCCAGATACTTCTGTGGGTCTCCTTCACCCTCTTGGACCTTTCTTGGCAAGGTCATCTATGGACAACTTACCCGGACTCGGCACTCTGAGCCTCGCCTCCATTTCTGGCCTTGCTTTCTACCTCCTTTGTTTATCTCACCCACTGTCTGTCTCCCTCCACTATGGAGAGGCGCCCCTGAGGACGGGCTGGCTGGTCTGCTTTGCTCACTGCTGTGCTCTTGCTGCTTGGTACAGTGACACATGGTAGGTCCTTGAGAAACTGTTGCTGTCATCTGCTCTCTGCTCCCTGTACCTTGGCTTTTATAACTGGATGGGTGGGCAGAGCCAGGAAAGAGGTGGCCAAATGCAGGAAAGGGTAAGGGTGTGCAAAATGATGTGCACAGAGGGATGACCCAGAGCAAAGAGGAAGCTAAGAGATTGCTGACTAAATGACAGGACATGCAGAAGGGCAGATCTGTGCCAAGAAGGAAAAAAACAAAAAAGTCAAAAAATAAGCAAGCAAGCAAATCAGAGAAGAGAAATGCTGGAGTGTGGGGAAGCCAGAAACACAGGAGATGCCTGGCTGCAGCCACTGCCCTACGCCTTGCATGTCTCTCCCCATGATGCCACCTGCTGTTGGCCAAGGGAGTGTACAGTGAGACTGGACTGAGGAGAATGAGACCAGGAGAGGAAGAGGAGAAGGAGGGATGGGTCAAGCAAAAGATCGAGAGGTGGGGCAGAGGAACCAAGTGACAAGCCACGAGGCAGGTGACAGGACTGAAGGCTAGGCCAGGAGAACCTCAGTAGCAGATGTGGAGAGAGGAGACCAAAAAGGACAGGAGGAAGAAGGTGGCCATTGAGGAAGAAAAAATGGGTAGAAGTGGGAGGCAAGACACTTCTGTTCCTGCCATTGTCTGAGCTCTTGCAATTCAGTGCCTTTTAAAATTTAAATCTGTGGGGGCTGGAGATTTAGCTCTGTGGCATAAGTACCTGCCTTACAAGCAGGCGGTCATGAGTTCAATCCCCGGTACCGATAAAAAGAAAAAAAAAAAAAAATTTAAAATTTAAATCTGTGATAGCTAGGCGTGGTGCTGCATACCTGTAATCCCAGCACTTAGGAAGCCAAGGCAGAACTGTTGTAGGTTTGAGGCCAGCCTGGGCTGCACAGTGAGTTCAAGGCCAGCCTGAACTACACAGCGAGAGAAACCCTGTCTCAGAAAACAAACAAAACATAAAAACCAACTCAATAAAGAACAAATGCTTTTCGCCCTTTACCAAACAGCTCAAATTAAGAGGCAATCTATAAATGGAGCTAAAGGAAATAGAAGGCTCTGAGAGATGCTCAAAAGGTGGCCGATTAGGATACAGCCTTGGAACTAAAACTTTTTTTTTTTTTTTTTTTGTCTTTTTCATTTTTATCGATACCGGGGATCGAACTCATGACCGCCTGTTTGCAAGGCAGGTGCTTATGCCGCTGAGCTAAATCCCCAGCCCCAGAACTAAAACATTTAATGTCAAGAAAATGGTAAGTTCGGTGATCAATTAATATATGTAGTCTGGTGGTCTGCAGTGAGCTGTGAGCAGGCCAAAATGCCAAGAAACAAGCATGTTTAGGCATAGCTGGTTGGCCCAAAGGAGATCCTTACCTGATATGAAAGCTCCAATCCTCATTTTCTAGATATTCTTGACTTAGAGAATAGAAACTATACTGTTAACAGCAGCTGAATGGAAATATCCTCTGAACTTGCTTCGTTGCGAGGCTTTGCTCACTGAGGAAACTGTGGCAGTGACTATATGTAAGGTCATGTCTTTAAAGGAATACCCCCCCACCCCACCTCATGAAGCTTCTGAGCCAAAAATCATGTGGGTAATCTGGCCAAAAAAAAATATCCTGTTGTTAATTGGCAGATGGGCACGTTTGTACAAGCACCCTTATGCATTTGAGTCTTTGCAAACTGTTTTGGGGTTCTGGTTAAGGATACCTCCGATAGCAGGGATAAAGTCCCATGTAAAAAGCCCCACCTAGTGCTGCAAAGCTGAGGATCATCAAAGAACTCTGAATTAGCTTTGTTAAAATGTGGATGACAGGACCACTTATCTAAAGCAGAAGGCCACTTGCTCCTTTTTGTCATCGCTTTTAGCTGCAATTAAAATGCAGTAGCCAAAAGAAATATAAGGTGAAGGCCACAGCACTATGTCTGAAATGGTTCAAAACTCCTGGCACCAGCCCAGCAGCGCCACTCGCTTCCCACCTGCAGTTGGCACCATTCTGCTGTCTAAGTGTTCATGGTACCGAACGAACAGGGGGTTGAAAGCAGGACAGAGACTCTCGGAGATGCGGTGGCCCTTTTTTCCCAACAGCCAGGGCAACTCTGCAAACAGCAGCAGAAGAAGCAAATGAAAACGGCTCCAGGGGACAAATGGGGCTTACTCTTCTCTGAAAGGTTCACCCAGCACAGTTCTCTTCCTGGGGCTCGATGCCTCCACACTAGTCTTTCACCTCCATACCAGAGGACCAGATTCAGACTTGTTTCTTCCAGCCAAGATAATTTTATTCCATTTTGCATATTTTGGTAACTACTTCCTATCCATCCCTTCAACTATATCCCATATTCAGATGCCTGTTTAGCAACCAGAGATGACTAGCTCTGCCTGCACCTCATTATCACAGGAGAGTAATATCACCATGACAGAATATCAAAATATGTGACATAGGGGAGGCCAACTTCTCAAGCTGCAAGGTCAGTACATCAAATTCCATCAGTCATGTTAGCATTTTTTACTTCCATCAGGAGATGTCCTTCTCTGAATGCTACAGTTGGCTTTTCCTTTTTTCTGGTACTGGGATTCGAACTCAGGACCTTGTACTTGCCAGTCAGACACTAGACTGCTGAGCTATATCCCTGGCTGCTTCTCCTTTTAACTGTCCATGCTCTGAGCTGGATGCAGGGTGGCTGAATAGATGCTTCAGGAATGTCAGCCCCAAGACCTAAGCAACCAGAGCATCACAAAGCCTCCCGTGGAGTCAGCCATATTGCCAGCACCAAAGAGGCAGCAGGCTGCCTGATGGAAGGCTTGGACATTACTCTTGCTGCTTGGTCCCTCCATGCTGCCTTCAAGTCCTTTAAGCCAGATCTATGGCAGAACAACGATCTTTTTCTCCAGCTTCTGTTGTGGGAACAGGAAGTTTCTCATGATCTCATCTAGCTCCTCCAGGGCTAGCTGAGCATGGAGCCTGGCCACGTCGTCAGGCTCCAATTGCACCACGTGCTTCAGCAGGTGATAGAGATCCTTGAGGACGTCTCTCAGCACCTATACAAGACAGACAGGGTCATGACATCTATCTGTACACGGAGGAAACCTGGCCATTCCCTTAGAAGCTAATGCAAGGCCCTCTCAGGTTGGAGAAGGGGGCGGGGTGGCTGCAGCACTTGTCCTGATAGGGTCTGTGTTTTTCACTCACCTCTGGTGCCTTACTACATGGACTCTGGGCCCAAGTATAGATCCCAGACAGCTCCCTTCAACCCCCAAGCATGGCAGAGACCTCAGCACCACCCACAGGCAACACTGCCCAATATGGTTACTTCCAGAGCAGCTGAGTATGAGCATTGTTCTCCCACAAGCTTTCTGCTGACACCCACAGAACAGGCACCTACCTTATAAAACCCAGGAGGCTATTTCTTCAGCAATTATGTCTTTCATACTTCTAAGTTTATAATTTAATTCCATTTCCATGCCTCCTTCATTCACCACACACACACTTTTTTTTTTCAATTGCAACTTTTAACTGGGACAAAAGAAGACTCCAAGGATAGCCCCACATCCATTTTTCATGACCAATGTTCTGATGTCATAGTCTGACATGGAATTGGGGGAGTACTCAAAGCATTTACTTGCAGGAGCTGCTCCACTACAAAATCCCTCTGGCTTCGCTATTAGAACTGTTAGCAAGAAACAGGTTATGGTTTTGTGTGTGTATGTGTGTGTGTGCACACACGCATGTTTTGAAGCTAGGAATTGAACTCAAGACCTTGCACTTGCTAGGCAGGCATCATGCCTCTGAGCTCCATCCCTGGCCCAGGTGCTACAGTTTATACCTGGATGCCTCCCCTACTTTCATACAATCACAGGCACAGCTTTTCTGGGAGATGACTGATCATGGAGAATGATTCACTGATGAGTTTAGAGCTAACTGTGCAAGTAGGAGATGGGGCCTGGCTGCAAGAGGTGGGTCACCGGGGGAGTAGCTTGGAAGGGCTGGACCCCACCTTGCTCTCTGCTTCCTGGCTGCCATGAGGTGCGCAGCTTTTTCCTGACTGTGCCTCTCGGCCACGCTGTTTCTTTGGAGCCAATTGATCACAGGCTGCTGTGAGCCAAAATCAACCTCTCCTTTTAGGTGTAGGTGTCAGGTATTATTGTGTCTCAGTGATGAGGAAGTGACTAAGACAAAACATTTCAAGGAAAGAGGGAACTCAGACGTAGGAATCATCAGGTCAAACGAGGGACAGAAGTGACTTGCTTTCAGCTGGTTGAGAAGTTACTTCTAGTTTAGAGCTTTTTGCTTCAATGACTGCAAGGTTATTAGCTCCACCTTACAAACAAGACTGAGGATTAGCAGGTTAAGGCTACCTAGTTAAAAACTGGTGAGGGGTAGGCATGTAGCTCAGTGTAGAGCACCTGGCTAGCATGCTTGAGGCCCTGGATTTGATCCTCAGGACCATAAACAAGAATAGCAGTAGCAGCAGCAGCAGCAGCAGCAGCAGCAGCAACAACAACAACAAAAACAATATAAAACTAATGGAGTCAGGTTTCTAATATCCACATCCTGTGTTCCTATTCTCCATTTTTATTGAAAGATACTGCAGTACAAAAAAGCACACATTAAAGAAAAAGCACACATTTAAAAGTTAGGGTGTCTTCTATCAATTCCTGTTCCCCTTCTCAGAGGTTACCCCTCCACAGCCATTTCCTTTGCCTGTGCAAGAGATGGAATCCATGGCCTTGTGCATGCTAAGCACAAGCTCTGCTACTGAAATGCACCCCCATTCCCCTTTTGTGTCTGTATGCTTGTTTTCTATTTTGCTTTTTTGAGCCTGGGCATCTCTATTCAATTTAGGTTGACCTTGACCTGGTGATGATCCCTCCTGCCTCAGCCTCTTGAGTGCTGAGATATAGCCATGTGTTACTGCACCCAAGTCTTGATCTGTGAAGTATGGTATTTAGTGAGTGCATTAACCTATTAAAAAAATAAATAGATTTACATTTAAGGGAATTAACTATAAGGCAAAGATTTTTTTTTTTTTTTTTTTTGAGACAGGGTCTCACTGCAGTCTAGAGCAGCCTTGGACTTACTATGTAGTGCAGGATGGTCTTGAACTCAGCAATCTTTCTGCCTTAGTCTCCTGAGTGCTGGGATTGGAGGTGTGTGTGCCACCATGCATGGCCCTCTAGGCAAAGATTTCTGTTAAAGTCATTTAACAGGTAAAAGATTTAGAACCTTCCCTTAAAAAATTTACAGTCAGGCAGGAGAGAAAAGGTATGCACATAAATAAAGGCGACCAAAACAGAACATAGTGAGTACTCTAAAAGGACTAGTCATGAGCAGTCAGAGCAAAGGGAGGTCACATTTTAGGAACCTCAGGGACCTGGATTTTGTTTGTTTTAGCTTTGTTTTTTTTTGAGACAGGGTTTGGTAATGTAGTTCAGGCTGGTTTTGAACTCAAAGATCCTCCTGCCTCAGCCTCCCAAGTGCTGGCCCAAGCATGTGATAGCCTAGGAACCTTAGAGACCTGGAGATGGAAATTGAAAAGGAGGAGAAAGTTAATTTGGTGAAGGACAGCACATGTGCGGTCTGGCTCAGGGTTCTCAAGCATCACAAGTGCATGAGGCATGCAGAACTGCAAGACTTGGGCTTGCTACAGGAGTACAGAAAGAGTCTTCCATATTTTGAGCATCTTGATGAGCAAAGGTATTGGGGAGGAGGAAATCTGGGGAAAAGACTCCTCAGAACAAGCTCCCAGGCCCTGCCTGACCCACAGCTGGCCTCCCTCTGGTTGCCTGTCCTCCAGCTGTGTGAGTCTTCTTTTTTTCCTTTCTGAGCAAACTTGCTTTTGTGCAGGGTGGGCTCCTCAGCCTGGGAAACTGTTTTGCCTTCTCTTCATCCTTCAACTCCTCCAATCTGCCTAAAACGCCACTTTTCAGGGAGGGATTCCTTAGCTCCCATCTAGCTCAGCCTTCCTACACTTCCTATCATTTTGTTGATACCTCAGAGCCAGTGAAGCTGGGTCATGATCAGCTTGATTGCTTGAGAACTACCTGAGCTTAATGGAGCACTCTGCTGTCGGGTCTGGGTGGGTCCTAAAGGTGCAATTCTGGGTACCACATCTAGTCCCCACCTCTCTGGCACTGTCCCCTGCTCTGCTTCCTGGCCACTGCCACAGAGAGAGTGGCTCTGCTCCCCCACACCCTTCTGTAATAATGTTCCCGCCGTGGAGCCCACGAGGCATGGACTGCAACCTCTCTTCCTTTAAGCTGTGGGCATTGGATGTCAGGTCCCAGCAACAGGAAAGTGGACCGATACAAGACCCTATCACAATTGTAATTTAAACATTTATGGTACAAACTAAATGCATGGATCCTGGGGATTGGATACCATATAATTTAGAAATGTCTTCCTCAGTAGGGAGATCTTTTACAGATGGGGAAGGGAGTAAGAGGTGGAGGAAAGGAAGAGAGAGGGAGAGGGAAGGAATTAAAAAAAAGAATTTAAGGGAGAAAAAAATGGAAATAGGACTTCTTTTTTTTTTCTTTCTTTTTTTCATTTTTATCGGTACCAGGGATCGAACTCACAACTGCCTGCTTGCAAGGCAGGTGCTTATGCCACTGAGCTAAATCCTCAGCCCCTAAACAGGACTTCTGCAAATGGGAAGGGGAATAAGAGATGCAAGGAGCAGAAAGGGATGGGAGGGGTAGTGGAAGAAAAAGGAATTAAGATGCAGTGTACCAACTCCTCACAGTAAGTATTCCTTTGTTTTTTGAGGCAGAGTCTATGTAGCCCAAGCTGGCCTTCAATTCACAGTGATCCTCCTGCCTCAGCTTCTCAAGTGCTGAAATTATAGGCATGTGCCACCATGCTTGGCCTCCCCACGATAAATGCAATCATTTTGTACCATAAATGTGTACTAATAAAAAATCTCCCTCATTAGATCATAAGCACTACTGACACAGACACAGAAGCCGTGTCATGTCTTTTTCACTCAGAGGTAGCCCCGGTGCCTCATGAAGTGCCTGGCAGGTGGCAGATACCATAAAATATTCATGAATGAATGAAGGCAGTCTCTTGGCCAGTCTCGT